AATCAGATGCAATTTGCACTCTCTAATATTAAATAAATGCAGACTCCCTGTACAACCTGATTGTCTGTACTGTCTCAACATCTCAACCAGAAGGAGATCCAAGCTTCAAAGACTTCTCAAGAGGTTTGTATCAAAATAAAAATGTCTTATTAGGAATCATAACAATCTCACGAGTCCACCTAACCTAGGAGGATCTGCATGGGGGAGTAGTGGTTACGAATTACGCAAAATTCTCACAGCCCATTACAAATTACATTTAACACTCAATGACATTTCTACCTGAGTCAGGTGAGGAAATACCTATAGGAGCCAGAAAAGGTCCTTCAGCCCCCAAAATTTATGCCCCTTTCAACCAAACCAACCCAAAAAAAAGGCAATTAGCAAGGGTCTGCAGTTTTTTCTAAGGTCGGTTGGAAAACAGGAAGCACAACATTTTTTTTCCTAGGCCTTACACGAATAGGACTGTGCCTGTTGCAGACTATATTTTTCCGACACAACATTTGGAAACTACAGACTGGATGTTAACCTTATACAATGTATGTGCAAATATGACCTTATATGAGACGTTCTGCCGAAGTGCTATGCACAATACATTATAGGTTTTGCGCAGGTGCAGTACGTTATGCCGACGTGCTTATACATGTATGAAGAGACCAATAAAATTTGGTTATATACATAATTATGTATATTATAGATTTTACATGCCCGAAGCAGTTTTATCTTGGCATTGGGGGTCACAGCTAAATGCCACATTTTGCAAACACAGGAAAACCCATCACCTTAGAAACTCTCCAGAGAGCCAATGTCTTGACAAAACATTCAATATCAGTTCACTTCACCTTGCCTGCCCTTTTGTTCGCTGGCGGAGGTCAAATAGCTCTCAAGGTCAAAGGTTTCCACAACGTAACAATCTTCCAATCTGCTGGTCGACACTTCACTCAATACATTAGGCTGGGGGAAGGGAGGGTTCTGTTTGTGGGACAGAGCAAGAACAAGAAATGCTTTTGAAAAAAGAAAGAAGAGAAAAAGATAATCCCTACTTTCCCAACCACAATTTTTTCTGGACTGAAACAGGAAACACAACATTTTTTTTCCTAGGCCTAACCAGTAACCTTGTTACGTGGTGACCAATGGTTGTTCTGCCATGCTACCCTCTTTCCCCCACAAATTAAAAACAAGACTGGCAATGAAAACATACATTGCCATGGCGACGGTGGTTGCTGTTAGGGTTATTGTTTGCATGGCACTGCCATAATTTCATGATTTTGAGGAAGACAGATACAGTGCACTCCTCCCCCGAGTGTACAGTGAACAAGCCCCGGGGTCACAGAAAGTAGGGCCATCGGGCCAGAGAGGTCGTCCCAAGGGTTTCCAGGAATGTGGGCATAGATGTGGGTCAGAGACATGCCTGTGGACATTCCATTCCTGTGGACAAAATGCCTGTACCATTCCTAGAATTCTAGCAAACTGCACACAATACTGTACCATTAGGCTCCTCCCTGAGATGTCGCCAAAAATCCCCAAAGAGACTGACTAATATGTTGACATTAGGGTACAGTCTGACTACAGCAAACCCCATCCACAACTTGAAGCATTCCAAGTAATTTGGTTCCTGATGTCTCAATAATGGTGGTTAAATGGCTGATTTGTCAAGTGACAAAGTGAAACTGACAGGACGGTGGAAAGGAGGGTAATTTACGTGCATGTAAATATGCTGGCCTGGTACTAGTGCTGCATACCTAAACCCAATTTTAGGTTCAGGTCCGGATTCAAGTCCAGAGGTTTAGGTTCAGTTCCGGACTTGTAAGTCCAGACCTAAACCCATGGCATATACAAAATTGCATGTTGGCAACCTTGCAATGTTGTCTGGGTAAAACTTTGGCCACATAACATAGAGGCTGGTACTTGACGATGCCCGATGGCAATGTTCTTCATTTTGCACCAAAGATTTTGCAATGTACGGAAGGTTTTAGGTGGTTTGGAAAGAAAAGGGGTATGTGAAATTGTCTTTTATGGTAATAAGTCCAGACTCGGTTCTTGACTTTTAGGTTTTTTTGGACTTGAACCTAAACATTCATACAAGGCCGGATCCAAGTCCAGTGAACCTGCCAAATGCAGCACTACCTGGTACAATACTAGTGGTAGAGTGTGCCATTAACAAATTCCATATTATCATGATAATTCATTTATAACATGCACTGTAAGGTTTATGAAGCCTTGTACAAGTAAATATTTCTTTTAACATGATGTAGAAGAAAATTACGTGTGGTATTATTATCTAATGGCAAATTCAAAAATCTAAATCATTTGGTATCTTACTTATTTGTAAGAGTTGTACATACGTTTTATGATAAATTCCGGGTAGCTGCAACACATTATGTATAATCAAAATGGTGAATTACGCTCTATGCAAAATGCACCAATAACGCTCTACGTTGAATTAGTCTAAGAGCGGTTTGTCTACGCTCTACATGGAATTAAAACGGCCGATTACGCTCTACGGAAATGGGCATGTGGGCCCCCCTATCTTTACAAGATTCTTCCAAAAGATAGACACCAGGGAATGACATAATCCACTCGTACAGGATATTATTCTAACATATACCCTTTGAATGATAGATGGTTAACAGTGTGTAATTTAAAGTTTGTTAGTATTATTAGGAGAGACATTTCTAATATATTGCTGTTGCCCTGCTAGGGCGACACCAATTTAATTTCTTGGTTAACAGATTCGCCCGCTTCATTTTTTTCTGATTTGCAAAAAACAAAAATCAGAATCAACTGCAAAATGCTGATATTTTGCCCAGAACAGTTAAAAACAGTCCTTTTCTTTCTAGTTGTTACAGTTATTCTATCTTTCAATGCAGTGGTATAATTAAAAGTTCAAAATTCATTGTTTAAATTTTGAACCAGCCTGGTGTGTTGACTTCAAGGCTCCTATCGTACCATTTTGGACTATAATAGGATGCCTAGGCCTGTTTTTATTTTTATTTTTTTTTGCCCGCCTGCTTCATTATTTTTCTAGAAAAATCCGTTAAGCAAGAAATTAACTTCGTGTGGCCTAGGTACTCAATACCTAATTTAGAGGCATAAAAACTACTTTGCCTGTGCAAGAACTAATCGATAAGTCACTGTGCGGAATATAATTACCATCGCACATTAGAATGCCAAGCAAAGTTCACAGAATAGACTATGTATTAGTATGGAGAGCGGCTGGAAAGTCAAGGAGGCCATAAGCTAAGAAAGTTCATGCATAAATAGTGCTGCATACCTAAACCCAATTTTAGGTTCAGGTCCGGATTCAAGTCCAGAGGTTTATATTCAGTTCCGGACTTGTAAGTCCAGACCTAAACCCATGCCATATACATAATTGCATGTTGGCAACCTTGCAATGTTGTCTGGGTGAAACTTTGGCCGCATAACATGGAGGCCGGTACTTGACGATGCCCGATGGCAATGTTTTCTTCATTTTGCAGCAAAGATTTTGCAATGTACGGAAGGTTTTAGGTGGTTTGGAAAGAAACGGGGTATGTGAAATGGTCTTTTATGGTAATAAGTTCGGACTCGGTTCTTGACTTTTATGTTTTTTTGGACTTGAACCTAAACATTCTTACAAGTCCGGATCCAAGTCCAGTGAACCGGTACGCAGCACTATGCATAAAGTATTGTGTTTTACAATAGTTGCTGGAACATTGTTATAATAAGACATGCATACCCAATTTTACCTTTCTAGTTATATATTTTTTATAGATGTATGTAAAGAAACCAGAACGAAAATATTCAAGAATGTAAAGAACCAGACATTCAGCACCAAGGACAGAACCTGTATATATTCAGCATTGTATTTTGTGACAAAATTTAACCATATCTCTTTTTAAATGAGGATTTTCTTTATAAAACCATATCTCTTTTTTGATAAAGAGATACTCTTATCTCTTTTTGATTATCTTAATGACATCAAGATAGCTTTTGTGCCTTCCAATCATTGTAAACTTTTGAAGACAACTATAAAATAAAACCACATGATTGTTGACTCTACTCTTGAAGAGCACGTCGGCAGAACGTACTGCACCTGCGTGAAACCCGTAATGTATTGTGTATAGCACTTCGGCAGAACGTCTCATATAAGGTCGTATTCGCGCATATAAGGTTAACACTCCGTCTGTAGTTATCAAATGTTATGTCGGAAAAGATATCCTCTGCAACAGGCAAAATTCTGATGCAATGTTGACCAAAAATCTTTCGAAAACCGCAAAAATCCAGGGTTCTGCGCAGGCGCAGTACGTTCTGCCGACATGCTCTCTTGAAGTGAAGTTGGTTGCTCTAAGAGTAATTGCCATCTCATGAAATTGTGGTTGTGTCCTAGAACTAGATTTCCTAGACGTATAAATATCCAATTTGGATTTCCAGACAATTTCCTACATGTTAAGTTGTTGGTATTTGTCATGTATACAGATTATTTGGTTCAAATGTTATGTACATTGTGTAGTTGAAGTTAAGATGAAATATTCTTCCCGTACATTTTGATGTAGCGCTATATGGTAGTGCTCATCCAATTCTATAGCCCTTGAGCCACACAGTTCTAGCTTTAGGATTGTGTGTTCAACTACCATTTTGCTGTACAGGGCAGTGCCTCTCCATTTCCATAGCCCTCGGGCCACACAGTTGTAGCAGTGGGGGTGTGCGTTTAACTACCATTTTTTGTATACATGTAGGGCAGTGCCTATCCATTGCTATAGCCCCTGGGCCACACATTTGTAGCAGTGTGTGTGTTCAACTACCTTATAGTACCATTTTTCACATACTTGTACTGTAAGTGCTGAATGCTAAGCAGAGAAATGTGTATCATGTACATGAATATGTATTCGGCCGGGATTCAAACCCACAACCTTCAGAATACAAAGCAAGCACTCTATCAAACTTGAGGCACAGGTATTATACCTTAATGGTCCATATGACAATGTTCTAAAAAAGCTCTAAGACTTATCTTTTCTACCCAGGGCGGTGCTGAACACAACATCCCAGTCCTGATATCAAGTATAGTCAAGGACCAAGCTGGTGAGGACATTATTCTGTACACTCTCAGTGTCACCACAGGGCTCGAAATACTTTTTTTTCTGCATACCTTCACTGGTAGTGCTGCATACCTAAACCCAATTTTAGGTTCAGGTCCGGATTCAAGTCCAGAGGTTTAGGTTCAGTTCAGGACTTGTAAGTCCGGACCTAAACCCATGGCATATACAATATTGCATGTTGGCAAACCTGCAATGTTGTCTGGGTGAAACTTGGCCACATAACATGGAGGCCGGTACTTGGCGATGCCTGATGGCAATGTTTTCTTCATTTTGCAGCAAAGATTTTGCAATGTACGGAAGGTTTTAGGTGGTTTGGAAAGAAAAGGGATATGTGAAATGGTCTTTTATGGTAATAAGTCCGGACTCGGTTCTTCACTTTTAGTTTTTTTTTTACTTGAACCTAAACATTCTTATAAGTCCAGATCCAAGTCCAGTGAACCGGTATGCAGCACTATTCACTGGTGCAGGTAATATTGGGAAATACCGCTTTGCTTTGAATGTAGGTTTTTTAAAAAAGCAAGTATGCATGAAACTGCATAGAAAGAATTTTATTTATTATTTCACTCATTCTGGTAATAATAAAATGTCATTGAGTGAAGTAGATATAACTTGAATCATCAGTGCAACAAAAATTTACAAGTATGGATCGGATTCAATGTACATGTAGGTTAGGTGCAGGTTAGACATCAGAAATACCTGCACAGCTCCAATTTTACCTGCATATACCCAGTACATGGCCCAGTGCAGGTTAGGTGCAGGTAGACATCAGAAATACCTGCACAGCTCCAATTTTACCTGCACTAACCTGCATATACCCAGTACATGGACCAGTGCAGATTAGGTGCAGGTAGACACATCAGAAATACCTGCACAGCTCCAATTTTACCTGCACTAACCTGCATATATACCCAGTACATGGACCAGTGCAGGTTAGGTGCAGGTAGACATCAGAAATACCTGCACAGCTCCAATTTTACCTGCACTAACCTGCATATACCCAGTACATGGACCAGTGCACATTAGGTGCACGGTAGACATCAGAATACCTGCACAGATCCAATTTTACCTGCACCTACCTGCATATACCCAGTACATGGACCAGTGCAGGTTAGGTGCAGGTAGACATCAGAAATACCTGCACAGATCCAATTTTACCTGCACCTTACCTGCATATACAGGTGGTATTTCCAGCCCTGCACCATATAAAAGCAACACGCAATAAATTGCCAGGCTGTATTTCCGTAGGCGATAGCTGCATGAACATTAATTTTCCCTTGCATGAAAAGACCATAACCACATCAGATGCCATTTTCAATAACAAATAACACTTTGTATGAATACCTGCAAATGACTAGCCTGGTTACCAAAGCTATTTTAGCTGACTTTCTTCCTCTTTGCAAATAGCTATTTGTGGAGTTTCTTTGACATTCGTCCTCTATTTGATTGAAAATATTCTGCACCTTAAAATAGTTTTGGTAACCAGGCATAAGGCCACAGCAATTTAATTTCTTGGTTAACGGATTTGCCCGCTTCATTTTTGTCTGATTTGCAAAAAAAAAAAAAAATTCAGAATCAACTGCATAATGCTCATATTTTGCCCTGAACAGTTGAAAACAGTCCTTTTCTTCCTAGTTGTTACAGTTATTCCATCTTTCAATGCAGTGGTATCATTAAAAGTTCAAAATTCATTGTTTAAATTTTGAACCAGCCCGGTGTGTTGACTTCATGGCTCCTATCATACCATTTTGGGCCATAATAGGATTCCTAGGCCTGTTTTGTTCGGCCACCCGCTGCACTATTTTCTATTTGTCTAGAAAAATCTGTTAACCAAGAAATTAAATTGGTGTGGCCTAAGGCTAGCAAATGACATGTTTTGATACAGTTACTATCATAAGTTTATGATACATTCTAATGTGCATATATCATAGTAGTTAATAGCAGACACACTTATAAATTCTATACCAGCATGTGCTAATGATTTTTAAAAAGTGCAATTTAATATAGACTCTAGAAAATTATTTGAAGAGAATGACAATTTTTCCCCCCTGTTTTTCTAATGTAGCTGACCAGACTGGCCAACTTTTCGTTGGTGACGCAATAATCAAGGTATGCTTGTTACTCATGATGTTTTGCCCCTGGGTGCTTTATTATTAAATCCTAATCAAACTTAAATCTCTAATTAGAGCAAGTTATCACAAAAGTTTCCAATTAAAAAATGATAATACTGCAGGCAATGCATCCTCATGTCTTTTTTATTAGCTACAGTAAAGTGAAATCCCCCCCCCCCAAATCCTTTATGGTTTGTCCCTATGTTCCTGGAATTGGTAAGGCCACACCAAGTAATTTTTATAGATGATGTCCACGCGCGCATTGATTTTGGCCTGCATGTTTCCAGAAAAAAAGAAGATGAAATTCTGCTCCCTGTAACTATGACCAAATAGTCACGACAGTGTCATCGGTAATGAGAAATATGAGCACAAGAAACAGGACAGGACGACAACTGCTGTTCCACTGATTTATTGCTGTTTTCATGATTAATAAAAGACTTGTTGATTGTTACTCTGTGCTCTCTCATTCAATTTGTGTCCTAACATTTGTCGTCACTTAGAATTTAAAAATATTTCAAATCTAGACATCTTGTTTTGGTTGGCCCTTCTCTGTTTTTTGTTTTTTTTCGCACTCTCGCATTAGATTTAGGGTCTCCATAGAATGTCATACATAAATATTACTTGGTGTTGCCTTAAAATCCTACCAGTGTCAGGATAAGCGTCATAAATTTTGAAGATGGAGATTTGTAGGAATACAGCCTAGGATAGACGGTAATCTCTGTTATTTCCCTAGCGCGTTGTGATTCCTGAATATATGCGTCGACTCCATCCCGGAAAGCACATCAAAAACTGATCCAGGTGCACTTTACTGAGACACGGTGCTTCGTCAATTCAGCTGCTGTATTCCTTATGAGTGATAGGGCGCCTGTGTGCATCTTTAACGCTGTTATGTTGAATTTCTTAAGGTGTCCTCCCTGGCTAATTTGGCATTTTAGGTTTCCATCGTTTTCTCACACAGAAATTTAGAAAGAACTGTAGTTGTACTGAATATTGATACCTGGGTACAAAAGGGTTATGAATATGATTTTATGGACCATATGGATGACGTCATCACATTTTATTGCCCTAAATGTAATTATCTTTAAAGTTATAATATAGCACTAAGTAACTAAAATAAAAGTATGATTTTTATGTGCATAATGGTCAAAGCTACACGTACAAACGTACGTTTGCACAAATTGATATCTACTAATAATCCGTAGTTATTAGAGAATAACCTAATTACCTAATTAAAATTTAGTTATTCTCTAATAACTATGGGTAATTAGTAGATATCAATTTGTGCAAACGTACGTTTGTAGCTTTGACCATAATGCACATGAAAATCATACTTTTATTTCAGTTACTTGTACCAAAGTGCTATATTATAAATTTAAAGATAATTACATTTGGGGCAATAAAATGTGATGACGTCATCCATATGGTCCAAAAAATCATATTCATAACCCTTTTGTACCCAGGTATCAATATTCAGTACAACTACAGTTCTTTCTAAACGATGGAAACCTAAAATGCCAAATTAGCCAGGGAGGACACCTTAAGATTGTAGAGCGTCAGAGATGTCAGGATGAGAAGACTGATAGGTGATATGTATGTAAATGTGATTAAAGTTTAGTTGGCTTTATCTCTTTCTTTAGGTTAATGGTGTCAACGTAGAGCATTCGACGCATGATGATGTGGTGAGTTTGGTTCACTTTGGTTTCACTTATTCTCAATACAGTTTGTATGTGTAATATTACAACGATACAAAAAGTCAATTTTCTGGTTATTTCTTTACAAATAAACTCTCCATTGCGAATAAGTGTCATTCAGGAAGTGGAGGTGTTAAAATATGACACCTCATAACATAAGTGTGTTTAAAAGCTGGAAACACAGCTGTCAGCCAAGTTTGTTTACATTCTAGTATTTTGTGGTGGTATCACAAACTAAGTGCACACTAAGGAACTAAGCAACTAAGGAAAAAGGTTGATTTTTCAAAGGATCCAAAAGTCAGATACATGTGCAATTTGTAATTTGATAAAGCAATCAGTGGTCGTCTGACCTCACATAAAAATCTGTTGTTGATGATTTTTTTATTCATTTATTAATAATGACAATTTTCATGATTTAGCCAAAGTTTGATTTTTTTTGGTTAAAACTCAGGTACAACATCTGAAGAACTCCCCTGATGATGTAAAGTTAACTGTTAGATACTACAGAGCAGCAACCCCCTACCTAAGAGCTCCAGGTAAGTCAAGTCTTTCTGTTGAGGTGCTAAGGCCACACCAATTTAATTTCTTGGTTAACGGATTCGCCCTCTTAATTTTTTTCTCATTTGCAAATAAAAATAAAAATTCAGACTGAATCAACTGCAAAATGCTCATATTTTGCCCTGAACAGTTGAAAACAGTCCTTTTCATCCTAGTTGTTACAGTTATTGCATCTTTCAATGCAATGGTATCATTTAAAGTTCAAAATTCATTGTTTAAATTTTGACCCAGCCTGGTGTGTTGACTTCATGGCTCCTATTGTACCATTTTGGGCCATAATAGAATGCCTAGGCCTGTTTTTATTTATTTATTCTTTTTGCCCACCCGCTCCATTACTTTTCTAGAAAAATCCGTTAACCAAGAAATTAAATTGGTGTGGTCTAAATAACATTGCAAGAAATTTGCAAGGAAAACCAATCAATACCAGACTAAGTATGCTTATATATCCATCTGCTACTTCCATATTATAATCAGTTTTTCAACATTGATATTGAAAATATAATTGTCCTCATGCAAGTTTTGCTCTGTTAAACTGTATTGGTTGGATTACTAGAGACAGGCAAAGTCTGATAAAAAAAGAAAAAAGATAATCCTACCTCCCAACCCTAATTTTTTTCAGAACTGAAACAGGAAATATAACATTTTTTGCCTAGGCCTTTCCTTAAATGTGGTGAAATTAATGACTAAAAAGTCATTAACAGTTTGGAGCGCTAGACTAACTGCAGGACTTGTTTCCCGTCGCTGCAGCCAAGTGGTCGCGGTACTCGTCTGAACAGTGTAACGGGAACGCTTCTCCTGCCGATAACGAAACAACCAGCAGCTCGGAATGGAAGGTGTGCATCATCACTAGTTAACTAACCAGTCTGTTAACTCATTAACTTATAGATGATACATTTAACTTGATGTTTACAAGCCATTATAAAAATTTGCCTTTTTTGTGTGTGTTTTTTGCAATCCTTGTTAAACTTAGTTTTTAATTATACCATATATTTTGGTGTTGTTAGCGAGCTATACATGTACATGCAGTAATTTTATGATGGATCACAATAATCATAATTATGTTTACCAAAGGAAAACATAATATTGTTTTTGCTACGTTTCCTCTTCTTCCATTTCAAACACTGACCTCTGACCTAGCCAATGACCTGATTTGTTGACGTCTCTCAGCATGGTAACTGCGGTGTTGGGTTAAATAATGTTGCAATTTTATAGCAGGAGGGATTTAGACTCCTGTTGGACCATACATTATATGAATGTGTTTGAATAAGAATTAACAGAGCAGACCATATGCAAAGGTTAACATTATGCAGTAGCTTTGCAAATGTTACATTTCTAGTTTTCGTTGCTTTTTCAAGGTGCATTTTTGATTTTTGATCACTCCAGAGTGAGCCTTTATGTCCCATTCCCCCATTCCCCAATGTACGTTAAAGCTCAGTTGGTTCTTTGCCAGAAAGTCCATTTTCTTCATTAATCCCTCTCTGAGAATTTGTAGCCAAACTGCTACTTCACTGGGAAACATTAGATATATAACCAGTCCAAAATTAGTCTGGCATCTTGGGTAACGATGCATCACGGCTTACAGTCACTTTTGGTTTGTGTCTCGTTTCATTAAGTGCTCTGAATCAGGTAGTAAGGCGGAAAGTTTCATCGTCCTTCAACTTGACACCTTGCTCTTTGCGTAGTGAAAGCAACGATGAAGCCAAAAAAAATGTTGTCTCCGGTTACCCGGTCGACCCTAGCAAAGACCCAAGCCTTTTTTTATCACCCACTGGTATAAAGCTATAAAATTTTTCATCTGACATTTCAAATCATCTAACACATTTTTAGAAGAAAGTTTCTTCATTCAATAACTTCAGCCGTAGGTGAGATATTTGTCCACAAGCAAAAAGGTGGACAGGTGCTTGAGACAGTCCCAATGCAGCAAAATTAAACTTTATTTTCTTGATCATTCAGGCCAAAATCTATTTAAAAAATTGTAAATTTAAAAAAAAAAAACAAGAATAAGAAAATCCCACCCTACCAACCCTGATTTTTTTCAGGACTGAAACTGGAAACACAACATTGCTTTTCCTGGGCCTAGAATAAGCTGATTCACTGTTGAAACTGTGCATGTGCAATGTGATATGTATTGTTGATAAAATGTCAAAGCTAAAAGCCCTGAGACTAGTGATGCATACCTAAACCCAATTTTAGTTTCAGGTCCGGATTCAAGTCCAGAGGTTTAGGTTCAGTTCCGGACTTGTAAGTCCGGGCCTAAACCCATGGCATATACAAAATTGCATATTGGCAACCTTGCAATGTTGTCTGGGTGAAACTTTGGCCACATAACATGGAGGCCGGTACTTGGCAATGTTTTCTTCATTTTGCAGCAAAGATTTTGCAATCTACAGAAGGTTTTAGGTGGTTTGGAAAGAAAAGGGGTATGTGTAATGGTCTTTTTATGGTAATAAGTCCGGACTCGGTTCTTGACTTTTAGGTTTTTTTTGGACTTGAACCTAAACATTCTTACAAGTCCGGATCCAAGTCCAGTGAACCGGTATGCAGCACTACCTGAGACATAAACAAAACACATCTAGACAGCATGTTCTACATAAGAACTGTTCAGGGGCCTTCTCATTTGACCTTGTACATGTCCAGTTTTAACTGTGAACTGGGTTATTGTATGGTAGACAAATCCAGTCCAACACCAACTCTGTCAGATCTCTCTATATAATATATATACCACATAATTTTGGGAACCTTGCTAAGCTGTGTATTAAGTAGTGTGAATAGAGTCTGCTAAGGTGAGATTTGGCATTAAGCTGAGACATATTGACCTCTATTATAGAGCTTATGCCTCCAACTCCATAATATCAGACTCTGCAGCATTACAAGGAAAAGTATGGGTCTATGAAGTACTGTAACTCCGTATTTTTTTACGGTACCTTTATGTTCACACTTTATGTTGACTTCTGTACCATAACCTTATCATTTATTGTTAATAAATTTTTGTCTTTAGCCCTCCTCCTCCTTTGCCACAACTGGTAAGATTGAGTTCCATATGTGAACATATCCATTTTTTTAGTCAGACCGTGAAATTTTGCTACCGTGAAGACAAAGTGAAGTACAGTACCAAGCAGATCAATATCGTGTAATACGGCTTTACCTCTGCACGTATTACAGCCTGCTCTACACACAATCACTGGTTTGTGGCCTGGATTACGCTTATATAAGATAGATGCAGCATAACTTTGATGGACAAGAGACATCTCCATCAGGAAAATTTTTATGTAGGGCCGAGGAAAATTAATGTTGTGTTTTCTATTGTCCTGAAAAATTAGGGTTGGTAAGCATGGTTCCACTTGTTTTATGTTTACTGAAGGAAAACATTGTTGTTTTTACTCAGTTTCTTCCTCCTCTTCTGCTCCAAACACTAACCTCTGACCTGACCAATGACATGATTTGTTGACGTCTGTCACCATGGTGACTGGTGTTGGGTTACATAATGTTGCAATTTCATGGTCTGCTCTGCTCCTGTCACCATATACTAGTACTACATGTACATGTATTTGAGAAAGTGTATGTGAATGTGTTTGAGAAAGAATTAACAGAGCAGACCATGTCCGAAGGTAAACATTATACATTTGCTTTGCAAATGTTACTTCTCTAGTTGTGTTTTCTATTGTCCTGAAAAATTAGGGTTGGTAGGCATGGTTCTACTTGTTTTATGTTTACTGAAGGAAAGTATTATTGTTTTTGATACGTTTCTTCTTCAGTTCCAAACACCTCTACATCTGACCTGGCCCATGACCTGATTTGTTGACATCTCTCACCATGGTAACTGGTGTTAGGTTACATCATGTTGCAATTTTATAGTAGGAGGGATTTATACTCTTTATATATGAATGTATCTGACTCAGAGTAAGAATTAACTGAGAGCAGACCATATGCGAACTTTATGCATTTGCTTTGCAAATGTTACCTTTCTAGTTGATTAGTTTTCTTTATACTATAGCCAAAGCAAGCAAACAAATACAGTTAAATTAAATGTAGCACTGAAATGCATCAGTATTTGGACTTGAACTGGAACGTTAGGTGACCGTGAGTACCACAAACAAATTGTGATTTACAGTGAAAAAAAATCATGATTTTTCCATCATGTCTTGAAGCAAATGTGTTCATGTAACACTCGGGTCAAGCGAAGAGATTCAGCATTTGATGCAGTCAGAAGTCTTTGTGGATGGGCAGCCAGTGGGATCTGTGAAGGGTAGTGAGGCATTAATAGAGCAGCATGGTCCAGAATGTAGTCAGAGATTGAGCCATGTACTAAAAACAGTGTGCCACTAGGTTCTCTTCCAGTTATCATTAATACACCGTCAACATACCTGTCTCCAAGTCATATTACAACAACAGCTTCTTTCCCCGGACTGCAAAATTATGGAACTCTCTTCCAAACAGCTACTTTCCGTCCGATTACAATCCACAAAGCTTCAAAACAAAGGTCCGCCGCCATCTCCTGACATAACTACATTATACTCACTCAAGTACCTCTAGCTCTATGCCTAGAAGTGGCCAAAAATAATTGGCCTTGCATTGAGCGACACTGTTAGAAAAAAAAAAGAAAGAAATTCTACAGGTCTGGACCTGAAACTGTACCTGAACAATTCAACAAATTCAGGATTGTGTTTCTGAACTTTTTCAATTATTACATGTAAAAACATTCAATTTGATAGACTTTTGTAATTTTTGTTTATGGTGAATTCTCATACAAAAAACATGGGCAAAACTAAAAATGTTTTAGTTTTCGTTCCCTACATTACTGGCCTCATGTAACACAATTCTGACCAAAGTGACATCTAGAGGGAGCGTAACTAATGTGCAACAGATCTTTCAGGGTAGTTAACACTGTCAATCTATAACACAAACACACAGTCCTGTCTCTGGGACCCATGGGGGACCAGCTATTTAAGGTCACAAATAAGCATATAATTAATGTAACTTCATACACTCAGGTACAATACAGGTACTTAGGGATTAGGTATTTTGGACCTGTACCAAACCAATTTTTGTGATACAGTACCAGTACACAGTACCGCTACACAGATCTAGTTATAGACCTTTCACTATCATGGTGATAGCCTGACTGCTGTGTTCACATGATTATCAATTCTGAAAAGTTATAATGCAAGAAAAGGCTAGAGCTAAAATGGCTTGGTAGGTGGGTAGGTCTTGATGAGACCTAGAAATGATTAGATTTTGGGCCCCCTGGTGGCTTGTTGTGGTACTGCAGTGGAATTTCCGGTTTTGATATCTCAAGGTCTGGACGTGCTAGGGTCACGAAATTTGGATGGTAGGTAGCTCTTGTGCTGGGGAAGAAGTTACGTAGGTTTGGGCCCCATAGCAGCTTGCTCTGGAACTGCAGGGGCGTTTCTTTAAAACTATTCGTGATTTTTGGTCTGTAGGTAGCTTAAGTGACGCTTGACATTATTATGCGACAATAATTTACAAACATCATTTGGCGAAGGTATGAGATCGTGGAACTCTAGTTTTCTCTGAAACACTCACTCAGCTGCTGATGTTATCATCATAAATAGACTCACACCAAGCTGAAGTAATGCAGGATGATGACTCCCCACACTGATTACATTAGCAGAAGCAAGGTGCCATTTCTAATGACTGAACAGGGCCAACAGACCAGAAAGAATGAGCTTATTTGGTTGTCATCACATCTATACTCAAAGATATACTTTCTGATTTTCTTTAACTTTATTACAGTAATTGTTAAAAAAAATCTCTTGAATTGTAGTGAAGAATAATATGTAATTATTGTATTTAAGAAATGAGCTTATTTGGTTGTCATCACATCTAGCTCTACCCAAAGATATACTTTCTTATTTTCTTTAACTTTATTACAGTAATTGTTTTAAAAAATCTCTTAAATTGTAGTGAAGAATAATAGATAATTATTGTATTTAAGAAATGAGCTTAGTTGGTTGTCATCACATGTCTACTTGAAGATATGGATCAGATTTATATTTGCTTTTAATTTTTAATTTTAAAAAAATTAATGAATCTGATCTTCTTTGACTGTATAAAAACAAGTCTTACATTATACTTTCAGTTTAATGAATTATTTTTTTATAACTAAAAAAGAGCTTATTTGTTTTTCATCGCATGTCTACCTGAAAGATATGAATCAGATTTATATTTATTTTCTGGGTTTCTTTATCTTTATTACTGTTTTAGATAAAATATATAAAAACAAGTCTTGAATTGTGAATAACTACAAAATTAATGATAGAAAAAGGCTGGAAGATAATATTTATTTATTGTGTCTCAGAGATGAAAGAAAGGACAAAAAAATGTGGGAAACTTATAATTTGGAATCTTTTTTTTAGATCTTTAAGATGTGAAAAACATCTGTAATGTTAAAAACATCTGTCATATAATGATGTAGATACATACGTTTACATTAAGCTGCCTGACAGGGACCCATTGTTTATTCAGAAGGTGTTTCTGAACCACCTGCCCTTGCACTTGAAATGCCAAAATCACTCCATGAAATTAGTCCTCAGTTCCATGCATGGTAATGAGGCTGATGGGTTGTTCCAGACACTAAGTTGGGGAGGGGCAAAACACACTTTGGAAATGCAGACTCTGAGATACAAACTATATCAAACAGTCAACTTACTTCACAATCCATTACCTTCACTCAAATACAACACATATGTGTATTAGATGTAAATATAGGATGACATTGTACTGTAAACGACAATTTTTTGTGGTACTTTAACTTTTTTAAAACTTTTTTATATTCATAGTTTTCACAGTCACTTCTGCACTGCAAACTTAGGCCACACCAATTTAATTTGTTGGTTCTCGGATTCGCCTCTTTGTTTTTTTCTGATTTGCAAAAAAAAAAAATTGATTCTGGTCCTGAATCAACTGAAAAATGCTCATGTTTTGCCCCCCAACAATTGAGGAAAGTCCTTTTCTTCCTAGTTGTTACAGTTTTCCCATCTATCATTGCAGTGGTTTGATTAAAAGTTCAAAATTCAATGTTTAAATTTTAACCCAGCCTTTTGTGTTGACTTCATGGCTCATTTTGTAGCAATAGGATGCCTAGACCTGTTTTTATTTTTATTTTTTTTGCCCTGTCGCTTCATATTTTTTCTGAAAAAATCCGAGAACCAACAAATTAAATTGGTGTGGCCTTAATATCATTACTGTGAACAATTTAATAATTTGCCGACTTTCTTTTTGCTGCACCTGCTGCTACTTCCATTGTATAGTTGCGCAAACATGTCCATTTTTCTCAGACCACAAACTTTTGCTACCGCACACATACAGTCAGTACAGAATGTACAATAACTTGTACTTTTGAGATGCCTAAATGCCCAATATATAACTTATGTATAGTATATGTTTGACCTGTAATACATCAATTTTTTAACTTCCTTTAACATATTTCAACCCATCCTTAATACTGGTAGTAATACTTTCAACCTGCTTATTATTTTGACACCAAATTTGTTGTTTTCAGTTTTAAAAAACTTGCAGAACTTTCAGTAAAATGTATACAAGTTCAAGGTCTGCTGTGACTGAACATAGTCAGCCCATTTGTAACATGCATAAAATCCATGTAGGCTCAACATTAATGTATCACAAAATATCCTTTAAAACTCTTTAAACAGGGACAACAACTCTCAAAAGTTTCAGTACAATATACAAGTTCAAGGACCGCTGTGACTGAACATACATGTAGTCAGCCCATTTGTAACATGCATGAAAATCCATGTAGGCTCAACATTCATGTATGACAAAATATCCTTTAAACCTCTTTAAACAAGGACAACAACTCTCAAAAGTTTCTGTACAATATACAAGTTCAAGGACCGCTGTGACTGAACATAGTCAGCACATTTGTAACATGCATGAAAATCCATGTACTAGGCTCAACATTCATACATGACAAAATATCCTTTAAACATCTTTAAACAGGGACAACAACTCTCAAAAGTTTCAGTACAATATACAAGTTCAAGGACCGCTGTGACTGAACATAGTCAGCACATTTGTAACATGCATAAAATCCATGTAGGCTCAACATTAATGTATCACAAAATATCCTTTAAAACTCTTTAAACAGGGACAACAACTCTCAAAAGTTTCAGTACAATATACAAGTTCAAGGACCGCTGTGACTGAACATAGTCAGCACATTTGTAACATGCATAAAAATCCATGTAGGGCTCAACATTAATGTATGACAAAATATCCTCCAAATCTCTCAGGCATAACTATCATTTTGAGGCTGTCAGAATTGTGACACATACACAAAATCAAGATCAGTGGAATTTTCACCATGCACTGTACTCCTAGAAGAGATATGCGCATTTTGTATGATATTCTTCAGAGGAGGATTTGAGCTTATCGTTCTAAGGCCACAGCAAGTTATTTATATGGATGACATCATGATCAGCGCACGCATTAATTTTCGCCTGATTTTGGAAAAAAAAAACAAGAAATTTTCTTGCCTTCTGACAGTGGTCAACGTGCCGAAAATGGGCAAAGATGTCTTCTTTCTTCTCCTTGATGCCCAATATCATGGTAATGATGTCTGTTGCCATGCCGGAAGGTGAATGGCAGATAACTAATAGTATAAAGAGAGGAGACAAGAAAAGGCTCTGATTTAATGTTTTGTTTCTTACTTTGATGCAGTATTATGTGATGTTGGCTGTGTACATGTGATGTTCCCACTGAATCAAAACCATTTGTACAATGATTGAGTCAAATTTTTAAAATGTAGGAACCTTGTTTTTTTTTAGTGCCTTGTTTTTTTTTTGCCCACTCGCATTAGATTTGGAGTCTGCGGAGGATGTCATCCATAAAATTTACTTGCTGTGGCCTAAGGAAGACGGCCGCCTCTCTCTTACATGTACTGCATGACAGATAGCGCACAGAGATGGGCTTTAGTTATAAATGGCATGGATTTTGGACGGATTTTCAGTCTGTGAAAGGCAATGTATCCCCCCCGCTATCTCCTTATGGATGAGACCACTATCTCTTTCCCAATCATTCTTTATGTCACATCGAGTCATCAACGATGCCTCAGCCGGCTTTTAACACATTTAGGCATCTCAAAAGTACATTTCAAGTACATCCTTGAAATGGGGTTTCAGTTCTTTAATGGGCAAAAATGGGTTCTGGCAAAATTCAGCGTGGACAGAAAAAGCGTTTTTAGATCTAGGTTATACTTCAGCAGGATATAGTGGTAGACTGTTTTAGTGTGGAAATTTTTTGTGAGGCGAACATTACTTAAAGTTACCCTATGCAATTTCAGGGCGGCAAGACTGGATTTCAGTTTTCAATTTCTTTTGATGTAGTAAGTTGAAACAACCCTATCCCATAGCATACTAGTATCTGTGAGGCGAATATGCAATGTCGCTGACGGAAAACGGTTGCTTGTTTTGTATCCTAGGCTGGTTTTAGCTACATGACTGTGTATTTATGGGTGGTACCAAAAAATGAAAGAACTTCTCATATAGCTTGTTTTGGGGCTATTTCAAATGTTTCTACTAGTAAAGTAGTAATATACAGTATATGACATGACTATAAAAACATGCTAAGAAATGGCAGTATGGAGAAGATTACAAGAAAGAATATAAAAAATGAAGACTTTAGAGATATGTGAAAATGTTTCAGCTGCAGATTGAATTACTACAAGTACATGTAGTATTTTGTCAAACCTGAAAATTTTTCAGTTTACTTGTGCAAAGTAATTTTCTCTGTGCAAATTCAGCACACTAATTTAAAAGTTTCTGCAAAAACATCAACTTCAGATTACATACAGGTACATGTATACTAGTCAGATTTCTAGGCTCAACCATTTTTTTTCTTTTATTAGGCCACAGCAAGTAATTTTTATGGATGACATCAGCGCACGCATTAATTTTTGCCTGATTTTGAAAAAAAACAAACAAGAAATTTTGTTGCCTTCTGACAGTGATAAACATGCCGAAAATGCACAAATATGTCTGTTGCCATGCCGGAACGTGGATGGCAGATAACTGAAGAGAGTAGACAAGAAAAGGCTCTGATTTAATGTTTAAAATTTGTTTCCTACTTTGATGCAGTGATATGTGATGCTGGTTGTGTATAATAATCATGTAGTCATGTTGGTTGAGTGACAAGGCTGGGACTCACACATAAAACTTCTTGCTATAATGGACTATACCGACTCATCATCTGAACAGGTACGATATAATATGAAAATGGTGTATTGGACAAGTAACCCGTTTAAATGGTCAGAATACACTCCATTCAATACATAAAATATCAACAAGACCAGAATTTTTAGATATTATATTGTCCTTGGTTGCACAGGCTGAGGTGACTGATTATGAAGATATGAGCTGTGAGATGGTCACAGAAATCATGACCTTAGGCTATTCAGGTAAGATATTTTCCTTATGTTTGGGTGGTAGGATGTGTTATGAGGTCACCAGGATTGTGTATTTCATGATTCCACATTAGCAAAATTAGAGTTAGCGCCCATCCTTTGGAGATAGAGAGAGGCCGGTATAGAAGGCTACCTGTATGTGAAAGAATTTGTAAATATTGTAGTGCAAAGGCTGTGGAAGACGAAATACACTTTATCTCAAATTGTTCCTTTCATAGCAACGCTCGAAATGAGTTACATGTAACTATTCAAACTTCTACAATTCATCCCAATTTTACTAAACTTACAGACAAAGAAAAAACTATTCTTCTTTTAACTTCCCAAAACCCACTAATTTTAGAAAAGGTGGCACATTACGTCTTCCATAGTCTAAAAAAGAGAAGTCAAACCCCTTAGACATAGTTTTAGACATAGCTAGGGTATAGCTCTAGACAACTACCTTTTATCATGTAGATTTTAGTTATTTTATACTACGTTTCATTTTTCTTTAAAAATTTATGTTTGTAATCTGCAATTAGCTCCCCGGGCATGAATTTGCAATAAACTTCTTCTTTCACAGAAGGAGTCCAGAAAATGGCAGGAAAGATCTTAGACTCATCAGTAGAGCTAGAGGAAGAGAGTGAATCAGATGAAGACATGGAATTTGGGCTGTTTGATCAAGAAGGTTGGATGGCAGGTCAGTAAAAAGACCTGGGAATAATTTCATGACGTTGGTAAAGTCACTTTAAGTTAGTAAAGAGACTCTTTCTACACAGCCAAGTGTTTTATTCAACCGACATTTCGGTGACCGTCTGTCACCTTCCTCAGGGCAATTCTGACTGGTTCACATTGCACTGCAGCACAGGTGTCACTGCTATAGAATTGCCAAATGTGCAATATTTACATATCTACACTGTACACATAATTATGCATGTTTACAGGGAACTGTATCTCTTATTCTACTATGCGGTCCCAAAGGTACGGGAGTTGGATATATTATACAAAATTGTGGTCAGTGACTACATGTACAGTTCAATAACTATATGTCTTAAAATGTTTGCGGTTGATTTATTTTTAGAGTGACCTCTCGACCCTCGAGTCAAGACTCTGTGAATAAGTGCTTCCATCCAATGCATTTACAATCCCAAACTTAGAGCACTGTGAAAAAATCCCTTTCCTATTGCAAAATCAGATCCCCACAAAAATAAAGTAACCAATTTACGGTTTAATATTCAACTTTTCAGTGAATCTGGGTGTTGGACCAGAAAGTATCGTTTGAGTAAAGGAATAGAAATAGCAAGAAAGTTGATTAAAAAAGCAAAGTCCCTTACTCAAAATGATGCACCAATGAAGTGTCTTAATACAATCTTCAAACTCAGGCCATTTCTGTCTCATCAATAAACAGGGGACCAAAGAAAAAGACTCTTAGGCAATGCTAGTCTAAGAGTCACATGTTGTAACTGTCAAATTTGAGTCCCAAATCTCTGACCTTTATATTCTTCATTAAATAAAAAGTAGAAATACCAAAAAGGGACAGTTCTGCAATTGAATATAATTTTAAAGTTTATTGCAAATTCATACCCGAGGGCTATAGATACTCTGTGAAGTGGCATTTTTCAAAGACACTAAATCTTGAATTTTTCTATTTCTTTAACAGCAGATGAGGAGAAAGAGATTCTTGCTAAGCCTGAGATGGAGAAAAAGAAGGTTGCTCTCCTAGAGAAATGCAGTCGGTTAGCATCACCTGTAATGTCAAGGTCAGCTGTGGCAACCTCTACAGCATACAGCCCAACATCACCCACAAAGTTAGTCGCGTATTCAGTATATTCCAAACCTTCACCACAAAAAATGGCACTAAAGAGGGCTGAGAAAGAACTGGAGGCACCGAGACCTGAAACTGATGAAGTGACTGTTGACGTGACTCTCAAAGCGTCCTTAGACGGAATACAGGCACGTGGCGATCGTCTCGAGGATCTAATCGAGAAATCGGATACTCTTAGCGCAGAAGCTCCAGTATTCTTTCAAGCTTCAACAGCCATTTCTGAAGAACTCTTTGCTGCTACAGCAGAACCAACGGTGCACGAAGCTACATTGGTTGAATCCAAGCCAGCCGTCCTCCGAAAATCTGGAAGAGCCCCACCCAAGGGAGCTCGTTTTGTCAGAGAGGTTGAACCAGAGCCAGTTTCTGAAGAAGTTGCACAGTCTGCACCCTCAGCCGCAAGTCGGTCAGCCCCTGCTTTTGGTTTCATACCTCCAGGCGCAAGCTTCGGTAAGAAATCTGCTGGGCTTGTTGGAGGTCCTCCTGGAACTACAGCTGAAGAGACTAAGACAAAAGAGGTTGCATTTGGTCAAGGGTTTGGTTCGGATGCTGTCAGTCAAGGTGCAGGTTTTGGTGCAACCCCATTTGGCGCACCCCCATTGGATGCAACCCCATTTGGTGCACCCCCATTTGGTGCACCCCAATTTGGCGCACCCCAATTTGGTGCAGCTAAAACTAAGACACAAGAGGCTCAAAGGTTTGGTTCAGATGCTGTCAGTCAAGGTGCAGGCTTTGGTGCAACCCCATTTGGTGCACCCCCATTGGGTGCAACCCCATTTGGTGCACCCCTGTTTGGTGCAACCCCATTTGGCGCACCCCAATTTGGTGCAGCTAAAATTAAGACACAAGAAGCTGCATTTGGTCAAGGGTTCAGTTCAAATGCTGTCAGTCGAGGTGCAGATGTTAGTACAACCCCATTTGGTGCAACATCATTTGGTGCAACCCCATCGATTGCAACCCCATTTGGTGGAACCCCATTTGCTTCAACCATAAGCCTTTTTGGCCACAGCACTACAGCAGCAAAGGAGCCAGAGGCTGCATTGTTTGGTTTCGCTTCCTCTGCCACCCCAAGTGGAGGAGGTGGATTCAGTTTTGGTTCCACGTCATCAGACATACCACTGAAAGATGAAGATAAGAGTTCAGTCCCAATTGATTCGTCAAAAGGATTGAAGTTTGGGGCCCCTCTTGAAGAGAAAGGAGGAACAACAGGCTTTAGGTTTGGTGGATCCAGTCAGGCAAAAATGATTCCACAGCAAGGTGGCTTCATCTCTCACCCACAGATGCAACAACAACAACAGGCTCAGAGCAATGTCCCTGATAGAGCTAGAATTCCAGGGAGGAAGGCACAATCAGCAAGGAAGACAACAGGTGGCAAGGCTTTGAGACCAGCTGCAGATAAGGTTGCATCAGACGGGGTAAAAGCTGACAGTTCCCCCGACACTGTCGTCTTTATGGATGAGAGTGATAAAGCAAAAGAGACCAAGACCCCAACATCTGCAAAATCTCCTCTGAAAATGATTCCAGCTACATGTTGTATGGTTTGCTATGATATGCCACCCCTCTACCAACAAGGATCCCCTCCTCCACCTGCCCCCTCCCGAGGACCCCCTCCTCTGCCACCCACCTCCCAACAAGAACCCCCTCCTCCTCCACCCCCCTGCCCAGCAGGACCCCCTCTTCCAGCTGGTGCCCCTCCCCCACCCCCTCCTCAGTTCCGTAAATCGTTATTATTAGCTCTGAGTCAAGAAAAACTAAAAGGAAAGTCAGGCCAAAGCCCAACAGAGATGATACAACCCCCTCCCTCACGCGCTCCCCCACCCTCCATGGGGGGGAGACCCCCTCCCCCACCCTCTATGGGGAGGAGACCCCCTCCTCCTATGATGACAAGGGCTCCCCCACCCAACATGGCAAGGTTGAGAGTGGATGCTGATGCACTGTACGTGTATGGTCTGGGTGAAACAACCAAGAGAATGGGAGCACGAATTGGAGCACGAATTGGAGCACGTTCTCTCAAAAAAGCAGCAGAGCTACCAAAAGGAGAAGAAGAAGAACCGATGGAAGTTGAAGAAAGTCCTGCAATCTGCGGTGAACAGGTGGAAGAAGAATCAATGGATTTGAAGTTAAGAAAACTCAAGAAGAAGAAGGTCTTGGAACTCCGGGCCGAGTTTGAGAAGAAGTACGAATCTTTGCCTGTGGATGAAAGAGAGGAAAGGTATGTAAGGATAAATCCACAAAATTATCATTCCAATTGAGTTTTTAAAAGTTTTGGATCATTGATCAAGAGGGATAACAATTTAACATCATGATGATTCAATGTTATCTGAAGCTTACTACAATCATAATTACATTGGGTATTTTCATCATTTTAAGTCACAGGTGCCTGAAATGTGTTTTTTCTCTGTCTTTCAAGGGCAGTCAGTTGAGTAATCATGCATTAGAGTGTTCTGTCCATTTTTATATGCAAGTAGCATTATGATTGTTCTAGATAGCATAATACTTTTTTAGCCTTTTCATGTGGTAGTAACAAATGAAATGGTAGAGGTCGAATTGGAAATCAGAAAAAAATGGACAGGGCGAATCTGAGAAACTACAAATTAAATTGGTGTGGCCTTAACTTGATTCCAGGGATGGTAGGAGCAGTTTGCTAAACCAGATCATGAGGGGTACAAGTCTGAGAAGAGGTCCAGGTGCATATCATTCTGCCAGCTTTCATCCAACTTCAGGTAGGTTCAATGGACCTATACCATTATTACGTCACAGTTTGTTTACCGCAATGAATGCTGGTCAATCGACGTTTATATTGTACAGGGGTGCTTAGGGTGGTGTCTGTTTGTGTAGCGTTAGCCTAATATAAGGCTTTTAATACAGTACTACTTTCGTCTTATGTCACAACTAAATCACCCATGCGGCATGTAATGCTGTGTCAACACAACTATAGACGCAGCAAAAATCAAATATACCTTACTTTGAAAACTTTGAAATGATCTTTATTCTTTAACTGACCGTTCTAGAATGTTCTTTAAACAGGTAAACAAACTGTGACGTAATAATGGTATAGGTCCATTAAGGGTAATAATAATGACCCTCCCCAAGGTGTATAAGGTGTGACCTACATGTGCTATGATACAAAACCAGCAACTGTTTCTGTCAGAGACATCACATTCTATGGAATATTGTTGTAGCTTCAATGTACTAACTTAATTAAACATCTAAAAATGAGCAGAAAATTGATCAGAAAATCTAGTTATACTGCATTGAAATAGGTTTCATTGTCTTTAAATGCAGATGTTTGAAGAAATACATTTAGAAATGACTGAAAAAAACTCACAAATAATCAATCTAAGAGAAGTTCAATTTCTGAAATGGTCACGCGTACAGTATGTAATGACTACAATCTGAATTTTGAACCAGTCTCAAATCTGAGGCCTGTAACAATTCTTTAATATATTTTTAATATATAAGAATAGAAGTAAAATAGTTACTAGAAAATTGTTTCATCAGTGACAAGTTTTTGAAGGGTAAGAGTACTAACGAGGACTTGTAGTCTGAAAATTTGGAGGTTAGTACTGACTTACCCTTCATAAACTTGTCACTGATGAAAGAATTTTTTAGTAACTGTAACTGTGACAAATGAATCTCTTCAATGGAAGTAAAAAGTTAAAATTGCTTTTTTCCCAAGACTCTGCAGGTTACTTCAGTGGGACAGAAACTGTTGTAGTACCCATTGTGACTACAAGGGGGAGTGGCCTTACAGAGAAGACTGTTGACCAGCTCTTTGCCTTGCTGAAGGTATGTAACATCTGTGTCCATAATATCACCAGGGTCCACAATATCACCACCTTGAGAAACAGTGTGCTTAAAGATATTTTTACTGCAACATACTTTTGGTATGCACTCCTTCACACCTCAAATGTACATACCTAGGGTATGTTGCAGTAAAAATATCTTTAAGCACACTGTTTCTCAAGGTGGCGATATTATGGACCCTGGTGATATTATGGACAGAAATGTTAATGATTTTACATAATATTTTGTTGAAATAGTGAACCTACTAGTAAGTATCTCCAGTTTTTTTTTAGACAATGTGACAGGGAGACCATATATTATCATAGATCATTATGATATTTTTGAAGGTTTTCAATTATAAGTACTTTACAGTTTGCAACAAATTATCTTTATACCCCATGTATCTTTTCAATAATTATGAACATGGCTCGTATGGAAAAATATTGTGGTAGATGTCTAGTATATATGTACATGACATTGTATAAATTTAACCTTTATGCGCTCATAGTCCAGTGGTTAGCGACCCTGCCTCTATACCAAGAGGTTGGGAGTTCAAATCCCAGCTGTTGTTGCTCATGCACCCAACATGCACTAGCAGGCTGCTGGAAAGGGTTGTAGTCCTTAGGACGGGACATTAAGCCAATGGTCCACTGTTCATTGTGCTTGCCAAAAACAGCAAGGGGAATTTCCCCCCGTACAATGAACCAAATACCAAAATAATGAAACAAAAATTTTGTGTACAGTGATGTCTGTGTGGTGTAGTGGATAGAGCGTCCGACTGTCAAGCAAGGGGACCCAGGTTCAATCCCCAGGGTTGAACCCAGACATGTCCGGACATGCACCCAGACATTGTGCCCTTGGGAAAGGCAGTGTCTTAACATGCATTCAATCCCCCCTCAGTTAGAGGGATCCCAGGCCCTACTAGGGTTTGGGTTGGCGTTAGGAGAGCTGAACCAGCTGTAAAAATCCTGCTTCAAAAAAAGACTAAGTCTTGTACTTGGTGCAAGCATGTCTAACCCCCGGTTGGGGAAAATGATGTTAAATTCGGTTTTAAAAAAAAAATTACTTGTAGCATCTCTCTTCTCGATCTCTGTCACAACCAGTGGGAGATTACTCTTCAGTGAGCTACAACTGTATCAAGATTCCCTTCCTTTCATCAACGTACAACATTTATAATTCTACTTCTAATGATAGCGTAGAGTTTTAACATGATGTTGCCCCCCTCCCCACCCCAGCATACTGACCAGGGTTCTTACTGGGAGTTCAGTCCAGAGCTGGACCAGCTGCTGGGTATTTCCAGTTCAACGTGTGTCCAGATATTCAACACTGCAGGCCTCAGGTCTCTCGGTAAGCCCATCTTCGTCATTACCAGGACCAAGCTAGCTATTTTTCACTTCACATAGCCCTATCAAGCATTGCTTTTTCTAAAATTGTGTTCAATGCCTGTGCCTTCATGAACTAAAGTGTCAGTAAAAGTCAGTAACTTCCGAAATGCTGACGCTTGGTTTTCAGTATTGCATGTACATGTAGTAGGACAGAAAAACTTTCTTCACTCACTCGCTCACTCGCTCACTCACTCACTCACTCACTCACTCACTCACTCACTCACTCACTCACTCACTATCCATTTGGTTTGGTTAAAAAGCTTGATGCCTGGTAAATTTCACTCTAGATCTGGGGTGGGCGAGCTTTTGAGACAGCCACAGGACACTTCAGCTTTCATAAATTGTTTTGAGTGTTGTTACATCAAATTTCACATTTACCAATTCATGGGCCAAATACTGTCTCCTAGATGTACAAATTGCTAGTAACGTTACATGTTTGTACACATAGACCATTCACATACTACCGGTATGAGAAATAAAGATTTTGATACTCAAGTCAACTTTATTGCACAACAGTTACAGTTGCATCGGATACAATGCATGGAAAATAATACTTAATACTACTAGCTGTAAACTATTTCTACTAAGCCTACTAACTCACCTAACTTTATCAATCAATACTTGTACAACTTGATAACATGACGGAATATTACATTTCACATCTTGTGAGACAGTTTCTCTTTTAAATTATTAATTTGTATAAGATTTCTGAATGTAAAATTCAGTGATTTTCACCTGTTTTTGTATCCAGGTGCAAAGGTAGCCAAGCAGCTGTTGCAGCTGGTGGCCACCTTGCTGGTGCTGCAGCTGTTGATGCTGCACCTGCCGCAGCTGTTTCCCAGCTGCAGTAGCCTGCTGCACCTGGATGTGATGCAGGTGGCTGCAGAATGGCGCAGCGCAGTGCAACAGGTGCTGGCATGGGCCAAGGTAGGTGATAGCTTTTAGTATTATACAGCCCAGTGTCGTAACCAGCATCCATCTTTCCATCGTTTGACTGAATTTTGCTTTTATTTAAATCCAATTTTAACGTCATTTTCCCCCCAAACGGGGGTTAGACGTGCTTGCATCAGATGCAGGTCTTTTTTTTTTGAGCAAGGTGGCAAATAAGCCAGTGGCTTATTCAATTGAGAATGATGTTTGTTTATTTGTTAATTTTGATTTTTCACAAAGTGAAAGGGAGGGCAAAACATATGCACCTTTACAAGTCGCCCCTTCCTCAATACATACAAAAACACATACATGTATATTATACATCAAAATTTGCATAGTCCATGACAAAAAGTATAAGAATACACAGAATAATCAATCAATGTAGAAGGTTAAGCATAATTCATAATTCAATGTTAACTCTAATTTTTTGCTTGTTGATGTTTACTCAATCTGTTTGTTTGTTTGTTTGTTTGTTTGTTGTTCCCAGGGTGTTGACACCATGCACCCATCAGTGTACTCCAGGTTAGAGCTGGGGAAGAGTTGGGATGACCTGACCAAGAAGCTGATTGGTGTTGGTGTCTCTCTTGTACATGAATGAAAATTCAAAAACAATTTGTACTTTTTATTATTATCATTAATAGTATGTATTATTGTTATTGGTTAGTTACTGTTCCTTTATTATCATTGCCATTATCATTATTTATTGTTTTTTACTGTTAGTATGTGACTGTTGTGTTTCGTTGTGTAAAACAGGGCCCCATTGAAAATAAGTGTAATCACTTAATGGGCCACCCTGTATAAAAATGACAGAAAATAAGAAATAAAATAAATGAAAATAAATAAAATCATTATAACTTTGTTGCAAATCTGTGACCGAAGGGCTAATTTTTTCTGTCAAAGCAAAGTTCAATGTTTTACAAAGTTTAACGTGACTAATATGTTTAATACATGGGACAGTCCTTTACAGTAAATTACATTGTATGTATTGTTTTTAAATCTTATTTCATACTAGGGGCCGACTATTCATTACAATGAATAATTTCTGATCTTATTTGTTTTTAAATCATAATTTTTATGTGAATACTGATCAGATGTAAAGTGTCAGAGCAATTAAGGATCCCTTTGGGAGCCCCGCCATACTGTCACTGTTTTTAAAAGAGGAAATAATTATTATTTTTATTATTATAATTTTAAGTGTAAATAAGATACCTTCAATTCAACCAGTGCTACTTTTACTATAATGAAAGTTGACCTGTGTTTGGTTTTTACATTGTTTAAAGACACAAGGAATTGTTTTCACCAATAGAGATTTTGACCAGTCAATAGAGAGAACTTTATTGCACGACAATTGCGCAAGGTACAATGTATGGCAAACTACATAAAGTGGGTAACAAACAATAAAATAAATGTGTTGAATAAGACCTAATGTCGAATAAAACCTAACATATCTTTATTATTAAAACAATAAGGGATAGAACAAGTCTTTGATAAAGTGTTACAATCGAGTGGGCTAATCACAAGGTTCTGTATTTTTTCTAATAACAAAGCATTCCTTTATATATGTATTACTTATTTTGGGGAACCATTGCATGCAAAGATATATTCAAATCTGTCTCCCACATCGAGACTTTTGAAATCTGTTGTACTTGATTCGAGAAATGTAAATAGGTTGTTACGCATAACATAGGCTGACCCAGTGAGACTTGTCACGTGGCTTGCTTGATGTGTGATATTGACACTGGGTCCCTTTTAGTACTACTTTTTATCTCTTTTCTGTAAAAGTATGGAATTAGCCTGGGTGCCAGGGTTGCCGTTACAAATCGGATGGCACCCAGGCTACTATGGAATATGATTTAATGATTAATATTTTTAAAGAGATATACTTGTACATGTTGGAAAGTGTAAGCAGGAAGAAAGTTGCTTGTACAATGTAGGCTGTAAGATTTATAACGTTTGGGGAAAATTTTGGATCTGTATATATTTGGTGGCAACATTATGTGATAAGGCCACACCAAGTAATTTTTATGGATGACGTCCTCTAGAGACCCTAAATATAATGCTAGAGCGCGAAAAAAGAACGGCTAAAAAAAGCAAAAGATACCTAGTTTTGAAATATAACAAGAGGTGACAAATGTTAGGAGACAAATTGAACAAGAGAACACAGAGTAACAACCAACAAGTCTTTTATTCATCATAAAAACAGCAATAAATAGATCTTCGAACCTTGTGATTTGTGAATCTGTCGTATACAGTACATGTACACAATCTTTGGTCATAGTTACAAGAAGCGGAATTTACTTTTTTTTCTGGATACAGGCCAAAATCAATGCACGCGTGGACGTCATCCATAAAATTTACTTGGTGTGGCCTGATATTCCACTGCTAAAATGTCCATTCGATCAGGGATCATAAAAAGACTGGCCTTTTGCACATTGTAATAAAGTTGAAATAAATAAATAAATGTTCAGATGCCAATATTAAGTTTCTTTTTGGGTGATTTTCCTTGGTGTTGTAAAACTGAATGTTTCATATCTTTTATTACAATCATTTTAAAAAATCATGGCATCCTGATATGAAAATGTATACATCAGATTTTTTGTGATGTTCAGAACATTTCTCTTTCTACTTGTACTAGCATGTGGAATTAAAAAGATTATTGTTCAAATGATCATGTTGGGCTAAATTTAATTGCACAGTGCTATAACTGTATTGAATGGTTAGCTAAAACGATCAGATGCAACCCTGGTAGTAACGTAACACTCAGCTACACAAGCAGTTTTTTTCCTCAAGGAAATATAATGTGTGTCAATATCAACAAAAGTTCAGCACCAAGGACAGGTTTGCCTGTGTGTGTGGTGTTCAGCACCAAGGACAGGTTTACCTGTGTGTGGAAGGTGTTCAGCACCAAGGACAGGTTTGCCTGTGTGTGTGGTGTTCAGCACCAAGGACAGGTTTACCTGTGTGTGGAAGGTGTTGTCCTTGGTGCTGAAATGTATGTTACAATTATGTTTTGTGATACAACAAATATGTGAAGGGACTGAAGGAGATAACACTCTATTACAACAAGCTGAAATATGTTTGCCATTGTGCAAGGCTTAGGCCACATCAATTTAATTTGTTGGTTCTCGGATTCGCCTCTTCATTTTTTTCTGATTTTCAAAAAAAAAAGATTTTGGTTCTGAATCAACTCAAAAATGCTCATATTTTGCCCCAACAGTTGAGGGAACTCCCTTTCTTCCTAGTTGTTACAGTTTCTGTAGTAGTAGTAAATGGTTTATTGATACACAAGGAACAAATCGGCCTTGCAGCAATAGCTGAATTGCGCTGAAGTTGACAATTATCAAGTTCAGTAAAACTTATATTTCTGATATTTCCATTTATCAATGCAGTGGTTTCAATAAAAGTTCAAATTTATTATTTAAATATTAGCCCATCCTTTTGTGTTGACTTCATGGCTCCTACTATAGCATTTTGAGCTATAATAGGATGCCTAGACCTGGTTTTATTTTTAATTTTTTTCGCCCTGTCTCTTCATATTTTTGACAAAGTATGGACCAAGGTCGTGTTATGTGGGGTCGTGTGGCGCAGTCGGTAGCGCGTTCGGCTCACACCTCAGAGGTTGCGGGTTCGAACCCCACCTTGTGCACCGATCTTGTGCCCTTGGGAAAGGCACTTTACACGACTTTCGTCACTTCACTCAGGTGTAAAATGAGTACCTAGCTTCGGTTAGGGACGTCCCTCAGATAGGACGTAAACTGGAGGTCCCGTGTTTGAGGAGAGCCACACCTCGAGCACGTTAAAGATCCCACCACAACTTTCGAAAAAGAGTAGGGGCATGCCCCGGTGTGCGATGGTCCAAACACTACTGTACGGAGTTGGTGATTCACTTCAAATCACCCGGACAGAGGCCTGGCGACCTCCGTCTTGTATAAGCCACATGGTGATTTACATCATTCACCCGGACGGAGGCCTGGCGAACCCCGTCTGTATCAGCCAAATCTTGGAGAGGAGATACGCGCCGCCAAGATTATACGCCTACTGAAACATCATGGCGCAAGTCCAGACATGCTGCTGGCTGCCATGATGCCCCTACGACCGTTCACGGTTATGGGTCTACATACATACATACATGGACCAAGGACAGGTTAGCGTGTGTGTGGAAGGTGTTCAGCACCAAGGACAGGTTTGCCTGCGTGTGGAAGGTGTTCAGCACCAAGGACAGGTTTGCTAGTCTGTGGAAGGTGTTCAGCACCAAGGACAGGTTTGCTAGTGTGTGGAAGGTGTTCAGCACCAAGGACAGGTTTGCTAGTCTGTGGAAGGTGTTCAGCACCAAGGACAGGTTTGCCTGTGTGTGGAAGGTGTTCAGCACCAAGGACAGGTTTGCCTGTGTGTGGATGGTGTTAAGCACCAAGGACAGGTTTGCCTGTGTGTGTGGAAGGTGTTCAGCACCAAGGACAGGTTTGCTAGTGTGTGGAAGGTGTTCAGCACCAAGGACAGGTTTGCCTGTGTGTGGAAGGTGTTCAGCACCAAGGGCAGGTTTGCCTGTGTGTGTGGAAGGTGTTCAGCACCAAAGACAGGTTTGCCTGTGTGTGGAAGGTGTTTATTCTACCACGGAATCAAGTCCCCGAAAAAATGAATTTACAGTTAATAGGAAAATTGGGCAAGAGTGTTATGTTTCATACTGTGGCCACATAACAGCTTATTCTTGAAAACGCTTATTTGTGATGATAGAAATACGAATTTAAAGGTGCCCTGTAGCTCCATTTTTATCCATTTTTTTACTGAGATTCACATTAACGTTAGTATTCTTCGTAATTAGATAAATTAAATCTAATCACCCTTCTTCTACGCATATAAGTGTCTGCCACCGAAACGGGCCGTCATTGGTCGTCATACTTATTAGATTATCAACTTGACATTAATTATGCAGGGTCTTTCTGCACACCTGTGTATGTTCCGTTTGGTATAGTCCATTCAAAATGGCGCTTTCGTACGACGGGGATACTCAGGGCTGATTTTTTTTTTACAAATTTCTGGGAACTTTTCAGGCGTTTTCGTCCGTAGAATGTCTTAGTAAGTGTGCATCAGAATGTATGGGAGTTTCGCTGTGGATTTGTGCCGTTCTGGTGATGTTTTGAGGAGAAAATGCGGATTTCCTGACCTGACGAATGTTGGAGAGGACAAAAATGGCGAGGCAGTTTGGAAGAGTAGCGTGGTATGGAGACGACTTCGCGCATTGTTTCAGGTAAACCAGTACATTGTTTCGCTGACATTATTCCATAGCAACTAGTACGAACATGTCAAGTTATATTCCGTAAGAAATCACCTATTTCTGTATTAGGGAGCGACCGTTCCTAATTTTACACAGGCTTAGAAAAGTCTTTCTTCTTCTTCTAAAATCTAGAAAAGTTGCCGCGTTTTCAACTACATTTTCATTGTGTGGTGCGCTTGTAGAGTCTTAAATGCATTGTTCATGTCTTTTTAGTCAATTGTTCAGCGTTTTGAGGTTATATTTGTTGAAAGAAATTGTGTATCGACCAAACATTTTTCTTTATCTCCACGTGTTTATGTGAAGTCACCCAAACCGCGATTCAGGTAACTCACATTCCTCACATCTGGTCCACGTGCCATACATTCCTTTTAAAACGTGCCCGATCACGATTTTCCGAAACTACATTCATTGTTGTTTGATGAAAACACGCTAGGTAGCGTGTCATTATTGTCAGAGGTCAACGACCTGTTTTCTGGTTCCCCCCTCCCAACGAATGCCGACGTGGTCCCGCCAGAGGCGGTGAAGCTCATCCTAGAACAGACACATTATTTGACCATTAGTACTCTTTAAGTTGCTGGCACGTAAAATTTGGTATTGCATATAAATAAATACATGTATCTCCCCGTAATCCATGACCAGGCGAAGTCACATTGAAATCACATTGCGTTCAGACGCAAATCGCGATGCGGGAAAACCGATAACCTCTACAAGTGGTTTGGGATCGAGGTGCTTTTAGTGTGATTTGGAGCGTTCAGATGGAGCCACTTGAAACTGGCTTCGGGGTAAACCACATGTAAAGCGCCTTGGGTGACTTCACATAAACATGGCCTTATTGGATGAAATAAATATGGTACATCATGGTTAATTTGGTTTATCCTGAATCAAAAGCATTTAGTGAACTTAAAAATTTAATACACATTTAAGCTACTTAAAGAATCAAAACGTTTAATATCAAACCTATAATTTAAAACAAAATTGAAGTGAATGAGTCTCTCATGGCCTCTTTTAACAATTGTAACATAACACAACTTTAGATGTATATTTTATTTACAGTTTATTAAAATGTAGTCATTGACAAGTAGTATTGGGTTGTAGACACTCCCAACTCAAAATTGACACTGTTGAAGTTGACAAGAGACAAAATGATTATTCTACATACTAAGCTACGTAAAGAATCTTGATTCTTCACACTACATGACATTTTGTGTTACATTTTTAAGGGAAAAAAATAATTGCAAAAGTTGTTCCTGGAAATTTTTGAGTGAGAAGCTTTTATTGTGAAACAGTTTGTAACAATTTTACAGATGTTGAATTCAACAATCCATACTGTTCAGGAACAGTCACAGTAACAGTTACTTTTCTTACTATAATCATTTTTTTTTCAAAATGAATGTGATTTTGAACAAGTAATATCAACTTAAGTTTTCATTTAGAAGCTGTAATATTGTAACAATTGTTTCAACTATTTCTTAACCTTTTTATTAAGGATGATGCCACAGATGTATTTTGGAAAGATTAACTTTAATAGTTGTTCCAACTTTTAATGATTGCCCTACAAAGAACAGGTAAAGAGCGTTGTCATTCTGTGTAAAGTATAAAATGCAGAAGCATGGACTATCTCAGTCTGGAACTCTAATGGCAGATCAATGTACTGTAGAAAGTATATAAGATGTAAAGTTTCATAAGGCCACAGCAAAAAAAATTCATGGATGACATCCTCCCAGACTCCAAATCTAATGCGAGCGAGCTTAAAAAAAACAAGGCGGGCTGAAAAAACAAGGTTCCTACATTTTAAAAATTTCGGCTCAATCATTGTACAGTCAAATGGTTTTGATTCAATGGGAACGTCACATATACACAGCCAACATCACATATCACTGCATCAAAGTAAAAAAACATAATGATAAAGAGCCTTTTCTTGTCTCCTCTCATCACATTTATCTGCCATCCAACTTCCAGCATGGCACCAAACATCTTTGTCCATTTTCGGCATGGTGACCACCGTCAGAAGGCAATCAAATTTCTTTTTTTTTCCTAAATCAGCGATAATTAATGCGCATGCTGATGTCATCCATAAAAATTACTTGCTGTGGCCTTATAAAGGCATCGATGCTGAGCTTAAGAAATGAGTTGTAGTTTTTCATTTTGTTATGAGTTTTAGTATAATTGTAACAATTGTGGTAATAAGAAAACAGTTTGCATTATGCAATCAAAAATCCTAACCAATAATGTAGGGGATAGCTATCCAACTGTTGTTACTTCATATTAAAGTAAATTTTAACTGTTATGTCAATGTTAAGAATTGTTTTTCCTTGTATTTCTCCTTCTTTTCCTGCCATGTCGTGAAATGTGGTCAGAAGCCATGCTGAATTTGCTCCAAAGCAAATGTCGGCCTTTCTTAGGTTTCATTTTGAATTTTCATTACTATATACTAGTTGTACATCCCTGGGGGAGGGGGTTTGCTGTCTTCTGGAGCCTGCTGGAGCTCTGAAACATAAAAATGTAAATAGTGACAATTCACATCCTCACATGCTTTAATCCTCTGGGTTTTCAGTTATTAGGTAGCTAATGAATATCTTTTTAACATGCCAGCACAGAAAATAAGGCACATGCAGATATCATGAAAACAACTGTTCTATTTTTTAAGTCATTAATGCTCACAGTGCCTACATGCATATGCATACATGCATATAATATAAGATTTATTAGGCCACACCAATTTGATTTCTTGGTTAACAGATTTTTGAAGAAAAATAATGAGCGGGCGGGCGAAATAAAGGTAAAAACAGGCCTAGGCATCCTATTATGGCCCAAAATGGTACGATAGGAGCCATGAAGTCAACACACCAGGCTGGTTCAAAATTTGAACAATGAATTTTTAACTTTTAATCATACCACTAGCACTACATTGAAAGATGGAATAACTGTAACAACTAGGAAGAAAAGGACTGTTTTCAACTGTTCAGGGCAAAATATGAGCATTTTGCAGTTAATTCTGAATTCTTATTTTTATTTGCAAATCAGAAAAAAATGAAGCGGGCGAATCCGTTTAACCAAGAAATTGAATTGGTGTGGCCTTATCAGTGTTTAACTAATAAGGCCATGTTGATTTGATTATATGGATGACATCCTCCGGGAGCCCCAAAATTGATGCGCGCGTGCGAATAAAAAAAAAGTTTTGCAAAAAAAAAGTTGTTTTCATTATGAAATCTACGTGGTCATGAGGGTTGAACAAATGGGACAGAATATGGTTTGGCGAATAATCTAGTCTTCAAGTTCATTTCTTTACAATTTTGTCTTTTTCCGTTTGATTTTGGCATTCTACGACATTGGTATGGTTTTTTGTAACTTACGGTATGTTTTTGCTCATTTTGCAACCGTTTTGTACAATTTACAGTATGGTTGAAAACTTTTTTTTTTTGGAAACGGCCGAAAATTCATGTGCGCGCGGATCGATGTCATCCATATTATCAAATCAACATGGCCTAATTGTATGTAATATATGCCACATGGAGACTTAAATGCTGCCGCGGTCTTTTGGAATTCATAAAAAAGGACAAAAAAAACTGTTACCTGGAAACCTACTCTGTAGCTCGTGTAGTGCCTTCAGAAGCTGTAGCTCATTCAGAGCTGCCATGATCTGCCATATAGCATAGCGGCCTGGAGTTCTACTTCTGAACACTTGTAGCATGTCCTGGCAGCAAGACCTGTAGTCCTTGTTTCTCCCATCAATGTTTTTGATGTCCTCCCAGCTCAGTCCTAGCTTCAAAGCCAGATCCTTCCACTCATCTGTCACATGTTCAGTGATACAGAGGGTGTACTGGTTGAAATCTGGAAGAAGAAAAATTTGCAGTGAGACACATGACTTTGTATTAACTAGTGCACACACAAAACCAACAAGAGTTCCACGATCTCATACCTTCGTCAATTGATGTTAACCCTTGCGGGTGACGAATTATACAATTTTAATCATTGATTTTGTAAATAAAAGCCTCATTTGCATGGATTGTATCAGTTGATCATATTCTCTATCCAATGACAACCTTATCATAACAAAAAGGCTATTATAGCAATTCCTCATAAATTATGCAAATGAGGTCATGATTTGAATAAATTATGTTTATTGATGTTCACCTTCACTTAACTTCTAAATGTGGCAAGTATGAAATTCGGGGTGCAGCAGTTACAACTATGGAATTATAAGAATTTGCCATTAATTTTGCAAATTAGGTCCTCATTTACATAATCTATATCCTCAGATGTTTTTCTCGTTCTCAAGTAGATGTCACAAGTGTTTCATAGTTCTATTATCGAACAAAGCAGATTTATAGATTTCCTCATTAATTATGCAAATTAGCTCCTGATTTGCATAATTGCCATCTGCTTATATCAAGCATCACTTCAACTACCTACATACCAAAAATCACAACAATACGTCAACCGTTTCTTGAGTTATCGTCCTTCAAATTTTTTCAACAAATGCTCCTGCAGTTCCAGAACAAGGCGCTAGGGGACCCAAACTCATGTCACTTTTTCCCTACCCCAAGAGCTATCTACCAACCAAAATTCGTGACCCTAGCATGTCCAGAACATGAGATATCAAAACCGGAAGTTCAGCTGCAGTACCTAGGAAAGCCGCCAGAGGGCCCAAAATCTAATCATTTCTAGGTCTCATGAAGAACTACCCTCCTACCAAGTTTCATTCCAATCCATCCACTGCTTCTCGAGTTATCTTGCTAAGGCCACACCAAGTAAATTTTATGGATGACGTCCTTTGAAGTCACCCTAAATCTAATGCGAGAGGGCGAATAAAAAACAAGAAGGGCCCTAAAAAACAAGATGCCTAGATTAGAAATATACTAAGAGATGACAAATGTTAGGACACAAATTGAATGAGGTGACACAGTGTAACAAGCAAGGAGTCTTTTATTCATCATCAAAACAGCAATAAATCAGGTGGAACAGCAGTTGTCATCCTGTCATGTTTTTTTTCATTACATTTTTGCAGGCCTGCAGAAACAAAGCATGTGCTCTTTACTCATTTCGCGTTACGGGTTTCACGTCAATCTAACGATTTGCGGCACTGTTGTGACTCTTTGGTCATAGTTACAGGAAGAGGAATTTCTTGTTTTTTTTTCTAGGAACAGGCCAAAATCAATGCGCGCGCGGACGTCATCCATAAAATTTTCTTGGTGTGGCCTAAACCACACACAAACACACACACACACACACACACACACACACACACAAATGCTACTGAAAACATATTATCCTTCTTGGCAAAGGTAACAATGTACTTTTAATTAACCATCAATATAGCTCTAGATCTGCTTCTTCTCCCAATAAATTGATGCAAACACAGTCACACACAAACACACAAAAACACATTCATACGCACACACACAAATTCACCCCCACTGCACCTCACACAAACACAAATTAATGAAAATGACATTAATGCCAATCAATCAAACACACCACAGAATTTGATACTAAATTTGAAGAAAATTACAAATTGATTTGGAAATAAAAAGAAGAAGAAAAATCTGTTACCTTGATCCCCAGTTTGGTCATCATCATCAGCCATGTTGAGTTATACACAGTAGACAACGTGCAGTCCACCAACAGTTCTGGGGGCATAGGCCAAGGCTGTTTTTGACATGAGTAAATTAAATACATGTTTTACATCTAGGGAATTTTGCATGAATTTGTGTGCTGAAATTTCTACAAAATAATGACCCTTCTGTAAAATGTTGGATTTTCAATAATTTGTTGCAGAAAGAATGACCGAATATCGACCAAAAATGTAAAACTTTACAGGAAGTGCTGTACTGTGTAATGACAAAGCAAAAACTATGTTCAACCATATTTGATAGTAGCAGTTTCCGTGTTGGCAGAGAAAATTATTATAAATACTTAGTTCTTTGTTGTGTCTTGTATCTTGATCCTGGGGTGTTTCAGCTATCAATGAAAAGGGGGAAATTCCTTAAGTTTGAACACTTGCATACTCACCTTTCAAAATGGCGGCTTCTTACATGCGGCTCCCTGTGAACCTTAGTTGACCCCTTCAGGTATGTCTTGACGTCATGGCTAAAGCCAGGTATGTCGGGAAACTTAAACTCACCTTTGTACTGTTGTTAGTAAAACATGGGGTCCATTGTAGTGTTACCTTGAGTTCTTAAACACCATGTCTTTGTCTTAAGTTAGGTGGCTGTTGACTGATGCAGTAGTGGTGAATTCTTCGTAAACCTGACAAGAGAAGATTGGACCAGCCCAGGTGATTTGAAGACCGAAGATGACTCTCAGGTGAGAAAAATCTGAATTCTGCATTCAACCTACTATTTACTTTCAAATTGTTATTTGAGACAAGTGTGTAACTTGTAATGTCTGTATAGTTAGGTGGCTGTTGACTGATGCAGTAGTGGTGAATTCTTCGTAAACCTGACAAGAGAAGATTGGACCAGACCAGATGATTTGAAGACCAGAGATGACTCTCAGGTGCATGAGAAAAATCTGAATTTTGCATTCAACCTACTATTTACTTTGTTATTTGAGACAAGTGTGTGACTTCTAATGTTTTTATAGTTAGGTGGCTGCTGACTGAGTATTGAAGACTACTGTCTGAACTTGACAAGACAGATTTGACCAGACCAGATGATTTGAAGACCCAAGAGGAATATCAGGTGAGAAAAATCCCAATTCTGCATTTTCTATTTGATGTTATTTGAGACAAGTGTGTAACTTCTAATGTTTGTACCTGGTGGCTGTTGACTGATGCAGTAGTGGTGAATTCTTCGTAAACCTGACGAGAAGATTGGACCAGACCAGGTGATTTGAAGATTGAAGATGACTCTCAGGTGAGAAAAATCTGAATTCTGCATTCAACCTACTATTTACTTTGTTATTTGGGACAAGTGTGTAACTTCTAATGTTTTTATAGTTAGGTGACGACTTTTATAGTGATGACTCTTGTCTGAACCTGACAAGACAGATTTGACCAGACCAGATAATTTGAAGACCCAAGAGGAATATCGGGTAAGAAAAATCCCAATTCTGCATTTTCTATTTGATATTATTTGAGACAAGCGTGTAACTTCTTATGTTTGTACCTGGTGGCTGTTGACTGATGCAGTAGTGGTGAATTCTTCATAAACCTGACAAGAGAAGATTGGACCAGACCAGGTGATTTGAAGACCGAAGATGACTCTCAGGTGAGAAAAATCTGAATTTTGCATTCAACCTACTATTTACTTTGTTATTTGAGACAAGTGTGTAACGTCTAATGTCTGTATAGTTAGGTGGCTGCTGACTGATGCAGTAGTGAAGACTGTCTGATCCTGACATGAGAAGATTGGACCAGATCGGGTGATTTAGAGACACAAGTCTAGCAAGATGACAACAAGTCAACATCCACAGGTGAGTCAATACATTAGAAGATCTGTTTGACTTTAGCACTGTTCCCTTATGTCTTACACTTTATAAAAATAACACACATGAAGCAAAACATCTTTCACATTTTGCGTTGCCTTACTTGAATAAATGTCTGGTATATTGCACTTCTTTGAGCACTTGAGCATCTACATTTCTAGGATGAGGCAAAGTACAAGGTCACAATAGTTCATCCTTACCTGGTAGCTAGTTGCCTATTCATACCTGCATCAATTGTCCTTTTATATAGGTATAATTAGGGTCAGCAGTCCTGATGTTCCTGTCCAAACCAGGCCTGAGTTAAAGACAGACCAAAGTGAAGAGATTGTATACAGGTGAGACAATGCTAATTAAAATTACAACTTTATTTTTCTATGTGAACATATCTAAGCAAAGGGGTTGTATGATTGAAGGATTTTATCTATTTTATCTTTTATGGTCACTCAATGTTGCTTGGAATTTTTTGGGGAGCACCACACTAATTATTCATTATATCATTTAGGTGTGTTGTGATGTTCCTGTCCTGATGTAGTGTCCTGAGTGGGAGAAACGTGACAATGGACAACTTCTGATGCCGACCTGGAGACTGGACTGCAGCAGGAGGAAGAACCAGACTTTTGTAGGCAGGGCTGTGTGAAAGAAGATGGGGAGGAGTGAGTATGGTTTCTTTATTAACACGAGACATACACACACTTGCACTTTTTTCATTTAACGTTTATAGTAGCCGGCGACTTCAATTTCATGTTAAGCAACTCTGAAAAATTCTTCATACTGTATGGTTGAATGCCAAATTGCCCCTAAATTGTTGCTTCTGCCTTTACACTTAAATTCTCCCACCGAAAAACTTTGTATCTTAGCCTGCCGCATTAATTGCTTAGTCATCCTTTTTTGTATCGTATGAATCCCGAATTGCCCCCAAAATTGTCACTTTGGACCTTTCCCACCAAAAACTTAGCATCTAAGCCGGCTGCATGAATTCCACGTTGTTATCCTCTTCATATTGTATGAATCCCAAATTGCCTCCAAAATTGTCGCTTTGGACCTTTACACTTAAATTCTCCCACCGAAAATCTTTGTATTAATTCCACACTGATGCCTTATTCAGTCCATTTTCCCACCAAAAAAAAATGATTTGGCACCCTCACCTGGTTAATTAATCGGATTAAGTTTTCCCGCCAAAAAACTTACAGAGCACTCTAATCTTGAACTTGTGCCCCCTCCCCACTCTTCCTGCCCACCTCCAACAACTCAGAGTTAGTTACACTGTTCTCTGGACTTCTTCGAACATGTAGTCACCACACTCTCCTACACAAACACTTTGTTAATCGAGTGCAGTTTTTCCACCACTTAGACTTTAGAATGATCTCTTGTTTTCCTGGTCGGTGACAATGCACTAAGTGTACTCCCGGGGGATGTCTTTTCGGGGACATTGATGCTTCGACACATCAGTATACCAGTGCAATTGACTGACCAGGAAAACGAGAGATCATTCTAAAGTCTAAGTGGTGGAAAAACTGCACTCGATCAACAAACTGTTTGTGCAGGAGAGTGTGGTGACTACATGTTCGAAGAAGTCCAGAGAACAGTGTAACTAACTCTGAGTTGTAGAAAGTGGGGAGGGGGGCACAAGTTCAAGGTTAGAGTGCTCTAACAGTGTAACTAACTCTGAGTTGTAGAAAGTGGGGAGGGGGGCACAAGTTCAAGGTTAGAGTGCTCTATATAGTAAGTTTTTTGGCGGGAAAGCTTAATCCAATCAATTAACCAGGTGAGGGTGCCGATTAATTTTTTTTGGCGGGGGAATTTAAGTGTGAAGAAAGGTCTAAAGCGACAATTTTGGGGCCAATTTGGCATTCATACGATACGAAGAGGATGACTAAGGAATTAATGCGACCGGCTAAGATACGAAGTTTTTCGGCAGGAGAATTTAAGTGTAAAGGTCTGAAGCAACAATTTAGGCATTCAACCATACATATGAAGAATTTTTTAGTGTTGCTTGACATGAAATTGAAGTCGCCGGCTACTATAATAGTATAAACGAACCCTGGGACAGAAGTTCCTCCTCACCAAGCGACAAGAAGTGTAAGCTTAGGATAGAACATACGGAAAGAGAGGAATTGTGTTTTGTCATGCAGTAATTTAAACTCTCGATGAAACTCTGATATCACTGTTAACATACTGGCAACAATTCAAACCTCCTGCTCCAGAGCCCAGACCTACTCTCAAGCTCATCAAATAAAGTCTGTCAGCGCAAAACATCACTGTCAAACTCTACTAGATCAACATGAGACGAGCCCTGAATTTTCCAACAGGAGGTTAGTATTGCTTCTGAATTAGTCCATCAACAGTTATAACAAAGTGTGGGGTCTATATATACATGACTTGAAAGAAATCAGCAAAACAAAACTACGTAATTATAACAGTATTGGAATCGTCCGCAATTTGTGACTAAAAGGACGCTTCTGGCAAAGAAAGTCTTAGATTTTCACAAGTTATGCAATAAAACTGCCATTTGACAGGTCTTAGCAGAGCATTAATTCGATTAAAAGGGGACCAATCAAATCAACGGATTTCGTCTGATGACGAGACTCAAAAATATGCATACATTACGTCCAGGTGCCGTATTACGTCATGCGAGGTAGTTACGTAATCCTCCAGGCGAACCAAGCAGATATGCTGGGTGAAATATAGGCAGGAATGCGTTTTAAGTAAAAATGACGCAAACAATTACAGAACTAGTTGTTGCAATATTTTCTATATGATCCATTCTTCATGTCTAGGTGTTTTCTGGACGCTTAGCACTGATAATAAGAACAAAATCAAGGAAAATATGTTCAGTAACGAAACATGAAACAAACGCATAAACGCATAAACACATAAACTTTTCGTTCCAGTTTTTCCACCAAACCCTTTCTAGAAGTGTAATAATTCATACCTGAGGTGTCCAGAAGAATCTTTCCATCCCTGGCGAACGTGCACCCTTCTTTACAAAGTTTACTCCCTCACGTTTAGTTGTGATGCATCCACAGGCGCCATGCTGCCAATTCATCACACGTGTCAATGAGGGCCTCTAGCAGTTCGCGGAATTATTGCAGGTACTTGAGAGGATTTTTTACATGCAATAATTTCACCGACTGCTAGAGTTCGCTTTTGATACATGGCGCAGAGGGTCATTAACCGATGTATCCTTGATCCTGATTGGTTCCCATCATGTTTATGTGTTTGGGAAAACAATGATGACGTATGTCTCTTTGACCAAATATGGACAACCGACTCAAAACTATAAGGCCGCTTTACTTGTCATGTAAACATATCTGAAGTTACGATGGATTTTCGGACGAACGGGACTATTTTGGGCAGTTGTTGTTCCCCCAGATAAGCTACATAGTAATGTAAGAACTGCCTCTGCAGAGAAAAGGAGCCGATTTATGAGGCCAGGGGAGGTAAAAATGCACGGCAACCGCGAAATATACGAACAGGGGAGGGGGTCGTTGTGTAGGGATAGCTTTCAGCACCAAGGACAGGGCTAGCTTCAGTTTGAACCTGGCCTTTTCTTCATGACAACAAACTGAATATTAACACACCGACTGCAATATATGATGGAAATTAAGCAGTTAGGATTTTGCATTCCACCATCTGCTTGGTTTTCATTTATATGGTAATGCATCGACACGGAAAAATTTACTTCTGCAAAGACTGTGAGCACTTCTGCAAGCGATCACGCAAAATCACGTTTTTGTGTGTAACTCGAGAATGAAGAAATTTTGGACAAAGGCAATAAGTAGGAATAAAATGGAGACCACAAGGACTATACTCTGAAAACAAGGAGGCCGGAAAATGCCAAAAGTTTCATTTTTATAAAATTGAAAAAGCGGAAATTCATCCCCTATCACACCCCCGTTTTCGAGCACCCGTTCGGAAAGGGTCCGTATTTTTCGCTACTCCGTCATTCCCAGATTTAGCCATTTCGCGACTTGGGAAACGAGATGGGCTTTTATGGGGGTTTTACTTTATGTCTTTCCTGCTCTTGTTCTTGACATTGAGTCTTCTCCTGACTACCTAAATATCAGAAATGTATCAGGAAATAACCGTTCTTCAGGCATATGTTCATTTTCATTTCCTAGAACGGCTTGTACAAGCATCTGAATACAGAGCATTTTTGGCAATATTTCTGCCATTTCTTTTCTTTGTTGTCAACAAAGGGCAACAGAAGTATTTTTCATTTCAATCATTTATTTCAACATTTTATAGCATTATAGTAGTAATAGTAGTAGTAATGGTTTATTGTTGTTTCACAAACTTTACAGAATGGCAGAGCCATGGCACCAGACCATGGCTCTGAATTGATCTGTAATTAACAGAATCGTTCCATAAATGGACAGCATTCAACGCCTAAAACAAGATCACATATCAATCAAGTAATTAAAAGAAATACAATAAGTTAAAATACCATATAGTTTAAAACATTAATACTCTCGGCTAGGACAACATAGATTGAACATTGGGTATTAATAAAAGAATATTCATCATGAAAACATCTCGGGGAACAGTCACCAAGTTATGAGTTCAGTATGCGGGTCATGTATGGCACGGCGCTTGTGTAGTATCTAGCTGTTCTGCAGGGTGGTGTGTCCAATTTGTGTGACGTGCGAGTTACCCTGCTGCTTATGTTCCCTCGTGACGGTGGTAGTAGGTGGCGATACTGGGTTGATTGTACAAGCGACTTAGCGAAATCTTTGGTTAGTTTTTCGCGTCGAGACCACAGAGACGGTAATCCGAGCTGGTCACATGCTCTCTTGTATGATGTATAGTGGGTACCAAGAATGATAGCAAATATCATACAAGTATTTAGGTGTATCATGGCAAAAACAAACATCTATAAAGTATTAAAAAGCTTTTCATTTCATAATACTATTATAAATTACATCTCAAATCAAATCTACTGGAATGTTTTTTCTATCGTTATATTCTTTGTGTGGTAATATCTAGAATGCACAGATACTTATAGCTTTGTGTATAACTTACATACAGTGTTTCTACATTTACAAGAAAGATTACAATTTCATAAAAGACAAAAAAATTGTGCCAGATACGCCAATATGTACAGCCATTAAAATTCTATGTGCGCAATAATATAAAATATGAACAGTTTCACTTCATAACACAATAAATACTTCGTTATATTAAGCTTATATAATATAGATTGAAGTTAGCTTTGTGATAACAAAATGCTTGTCTTAAATATATGTTTGTAATTTTCTTTCCAAACTTCCGTTTCAAAAGTTGGTCCCTGTCACAATAAAAATACACAAAAGAAAAGCATTTGGCCTCTGTAACATTGTTTCATATATAATATTGATCCTGGTACTAAAATTGTGACTCGATTGTGACTCCAGTGTACAAAATACTTTTTTGAACCAGGTTGCCCAGTGGGCAACCTACGGCAAAAATTAGGTTGCCCATCAGAATTTTAGGCTGCCCCACCTATAAGTTACTACTTTCCTCAAAATTATGTAATGTTAAAAACATAAGCCTTTGACAATATTTCTAACAGCTTTTAGTAAACTGATACCTAGTAATAGCCATTAATACCTAGAATTAAAAAGCATCTGCCAAATACAGTGGTGCAAGCCAAGTGGGCATGATTTAGGAGGGGGGGCATCCTTAAAATTCAGGTAGCACACTGGGCTACCTAGGTTCAAAATAGGTCGCCCCAAGAAAAATTTGGTTGCCCGGGGCAACTGGGCAACCAGGTATTTTGCACGCTGGACTCCCACCTACCCTGTCAATCTATCGACTAAAGATTATATCCTTTAGCTGACAATCAGTATTCACAATATGTATTGATAATTCTAAACTTTTCATTTGATATCATAAAAATTGAATATGATTGCCTTTCATTTTCATTCTAAACTTCCATGTGTTTCAAATTGCATGTAATTCCAAAACCAAAGTATTTCAGCCACAATATAATAAACTTGGCCTTTTTGAATAAGTCTTGTAAGAATTTGGTCATAAGTATCATGTTTTGTATCATGTATTCAAGTATTTAACAACATATGAAAAAGCACTTTGTCTTAACATGTATACCAACTACTCAGGTCTTTTTGCTACGTAGTATGTCTCTCCATTGTGTAAAGAAGCCAACTGAGGTGGTTAGGACATGTACATTGTACATATTCAGATGCCGGAAGATAAAGACGTGAAAAGAATCTGAAACTGGAAACCCCAAAATAAAAGACCAGCCGGCAGGCCAAGAAAAAGATGCTTGGACCAGATTATTCAAGTCACAAGACAAGAGGAGCCAGACTTCCGAGTAGTCAAGGAAATAGCTGAAGACAGAACAGAGTGGGAAAGACTCAGCCTAAGAGGCTGACAACTTACACGCTAGTTCCTCAAGTCAGAGTACCAAAACCAAAATCCAACTCTCAGAAAAGGCGCTTTCTGTACAGAATGTCTCAATTGTGGAATAACACAGGCGGCAACTAGCAAAGTACTGGACTGTAAATAGTGTATTAAGGAATTGTGTTAAGTTTGCCGCATACTGTTCACTTTGTAATGTTTTTATAAAGACATCAGGATAAGAAGGAGGAGGTGAGAAGAAGTATGTCCGAGACCCCTCCAGAATTCAGCATTTCAAAACCCCCTAATAGTCTGGAGATTGAGACTAACAATAAGATATCATCATCATGGCAGCTCGTGTGCTGGCGGCGGTGGCGGCCAGCTTTCCCTCAGTCCCTGTAGGAAATCCAGGCTGCTCTCATACTCATTCCCACCAGGGGGCGTTCCAGAACTGTCCTCGCTGCTCGGCGACTCGTAGAACGTGGTCGGGGACGGCGTGGGAATCTCGTACACGTTTTCCGAGGACTGCACGAAGGGCCGGGTGCGCGTACGTGCTTCTAAACCCAGGACGGTATTCTTGTTCTCGAACACGACATCCGGCATCTCGACTACCTGTTGTCTGTTGTTCTGTTGTTTCCTGTTTGTAAACAAAAACAACAACAATTAAGACAGAAGAGACTTCAAATCTAGGGCAGTAAATATATTTTGTCATACACTATGCTTAAATATGTTTAACACATTCCTGATGACCATCTGAGGTCAAAACCCTGTCAATCAAGTGAAAGAAACGGTGAAACCCAACTGCCCACTCACTTTGAAACCCAAACATACAAACCTAGCATACGATATAGCCACCTAAAACAATACTTCTGTCCCAGAGGTAACAAGATCAAATATTGTATTAAGCTAAATTGGACACATCTTCAAGGTGACTGAGTCAAATTAAGTTGGAGTCAAATTTGAAAAATGTCATGTGACAAGCAAATCCAAATGTTTACAAATCTAGAAGACATTGTTAAAGTTCAAACAGTCAGCTTGGTAACTGTGTAAAATGCTCTACAATGAGGCCATGTTGATTTGATTATATGGATGACATCCTCCGGGAGCCCAAAAACTGATGCGCGCGTGCGAATAAAAAAAAGTTTTGCAAAAAAAAAAAGAAGTTCTTATATTGTAACTTATGGTATATTTTTGCTCATTTTGCAACTGTTTTGTACGATTTACAGTATGGTTGAAAACTTTTTTTTATAGGAAACGGCCGAAAATTCATGCGCGCGCGGATGTCATCCATATAATCAAATCAACATGGCCTGACATAAAAAACATAGACGCACCTTTTGGTTAGAACAATGGCCAGCAGCATTATACAGAGCACCAGCACTACTACACCTGCACCTACTGCTATCCCTATTATCAGCACCCAGTTGGTATCTGTAATAACAAGGATTTAATTTGACGAAGGACATTGTTGTAAATAGTTTCAACTGGTGGCAAGAATTAGAAAATTAGGAGAGGGAGAGAGAGAGAGAGAGAGAGAGCGAGGAACAGAGAGAGACCCAGAGAGACAGAGAGAGAGAGAGAGATCTGAGTCAAATGTATGTTACTAAAATTTTCTATGACTTGTTTGTTTGTTTTATATAAAATCAACAATATAGGTTCTGGAACTATTGTGCCACCACAAACTACCAGAATGTAAACAAACATGGCTGACTGTGTTTCTAGCTTTTATTCACACTTGTAAGGTGTCATATTTTGGCAACACCACTTCCCCAATTACACTAACCTTTGCAATGGAGTAGCATTGGTTCAACTTACTTTGCAAAAAAAAATGACCAGAAAATTTACTTTTTGTATTGTCCTCAGTGTTACATAATACATCTTTAAAGAAGAACGAGAAAGGTGACATTTGCAAAGCAATTTTGCATTATGTTCACCTTCACATATGGTCTGCTCTGTTAATTCTTACTCAAACACATCGTATTTCATTATATGGCGACAGAAGTCTAAATTCCTCCTGCTATAAAATTACAACATGATGTAACACAACACTAGTTACCATGGTGATAAAGCTGTCTGATTCAGGTCATTGACCTTTTGTGCTTGGAGAAGAGGAAACAGCAAAAAGAATGTTTTCCTTCGGTAAACATGATAAAGATTGATACAATAATGAGTCAGACCTACCAAAGTCTTGATGAGTGTGAGGTTCTATGAGTAGATCATCCTTAGGTGGCCAGCAGGCTTCTCTCCATTCAGCTGACTCATTATAAACAACTGTACGGTTAACAGCTGTGGGCAACAAGCATTAAAACAGCTTAATACATGTAACTCATAATTATAATAACACGTAGATCTCATAATCATGAGTCCGTAAGCATGTTGAGCATAATGTTATCAACGGTAAATGATGTTAAATTAAAATCATTCAAAACGTGGACATGCCTTAAAGTGACCTTGAACTGACCTTGATATGTCATGACGAAACCAGCTGCAGTCTTACTTGACGCAGACCGGAAGGAGATGTGTAACGTTTCCGCACAGCTGACAGCAATATCCGGTATGACGTCACCGACGAAGGTCGTCCTGAATCCCGCGGCGGGATCTTCCATCGCGATGACGTCACCGTCAGACAGTTGCAGCATGGTGAAGTCCAGGTCGATCACGTGATGTTCAGGGACCGTGACGGTCCACGTGCACGTCACGTGTTTGGTGTAGTTTCCGGGGAAACCAGGGGAGTAGATGACACCCTCTGTATCTGTCCAGTTCCCGCCACAGGCCCCTATAGTAGCTGTAAATACATTATGCAAATCATATGTAAATTAGGGCAAAGTATGCAAATCATGTCATGTCACATGTGTGATGTAGTTGCAGGGGAAACTAGGGGAGTAGATGAAGCCTTCCCTATCTGTCCAGTTCCCATTACGGCCCCCCATAGAAGCTGGAAATATATTATGCAAATTTCATGCAAATCAAAATACACTATGCAAATTATATGCAAATGTATGCAAACACATAGATGGTATTTTGGACTAAGGGAACTATAAACTAGTTATTCAAAAATTAAAGCCTATTCTTATTCCTATTCCAAGACGGTCTGAAAACCAGAACAGGGGCTATGTATAATGTTCAGAAGCTCCAACAGGACATGGGTTAGAGACATCAGATGCAGTTTCAGGGCAAAACTAAAATGTTCTGGATGAAAAATTCTGTATAATATTGACATGTAAGGCTATTTCTTAGCACATTTTTTTCAGAATTTCATACTCGACGCATTTAAAACAGCTCAAAACAAGCTACATGGCGCATCTCTTCGTTTTTTGGGTACCACTCACAAATAGAGCTAGAATCAGCCTACAATAGAAAACAAGCAACCGTTTTCAATCAGTGACATCGCATTTTTGCCTCACAGATATCAGTATGCTATGGGATAGGATAGATTCAACTTACTACATTAAAAGATTGACCAGAAAATTAACTTTGCATCCAGTTTTGCCACCTGAAATTGCTTTGAATGCCTTTAAGTATAAAATCCCCCCGTACCATCATATATGGTGAGCCTGTTGCTGTTTTCCAGGTAGCCGCTCCCGCACACTTGGTCTGGATCCCCGGCACACTGGTCCTGACACTCACGGTCCTTACGCCGGTTTCCCAGCCTTGCGAAATGCTCGTCCTGCCCGCAGAAACACTCCGTCCCTCGCTGGGCGCCGGCGTACTTGTACCCCAGTCCGTGGCAGTGTTGGGTACACATCTGTATGGTCATGGCGAAGGTTCGCAGGTACTCGTGATAGAACACTCGATCATCGGGCAGGAGGAAGTCTCGGTAGCAGCCAAGATATCCGGGGACTGGAATAACACAAAAATGTGTGTTACAACTTTGTTCTTATTGCTCAAAAGTGTAAGAAATACCCATCTGCAGTCTGCATTTTGCAGAGATATTTTCAATATTTCAGAAGAAACATACAATGTTGCAGACTGAAAAAAATCAGGCCAGGGGTTCAATGGTGCTGACTGTTGGCATGATATTGTTTAAGATCTTTTGTGTTTTCTGACAAAATGTATTGACACAATGTATTGTGTACAATGTATATGCCATGTGTATAGGTCTGCACTCATAATTATATGCGTGTATTTGCAGCAAGTATTTCAGAGTAGCAGAAGAAAATTTTGACATCTGCAATATTGCAGAAAAGTGACAAGACACAAAGCCACTGCAACTGGAATAAAGTATATGGTAAAATTGTAATACTGAATAGTTTAAAACAAAGGCAGGTTCAGTCAACAGTTTTTTTGCGTCCACAATATATGCTTGGGTCAACATCAAAATATTTCTGTTAGCTTCAAGTCTAGGCACACAAAAGTGAACCCCTAAGGAACAGGTTGATATTGGCTTCATAAAAGTTGTGCAAATCAATAATAGAACCTATTAGGTTCTGTAGATTGTCGATTAGAGTCTCTCTGTTCTATGTATAAATATGTAGTGTTGCAATTGTTAGGAAGGTATTGTTTTGAGTGTACAATGTATTTGCAAGCTGCTATGAAAACCAAACTTACACCACGTTATTCAGACATAAGAAGCTATCTGTTACTAGAATATGAAGACCATACCTTGTCCAGAACAATAGATATAAAACCTGAAAGTATTTCGGCACCAAGGACAGATGCCGGCAGCTCTCAAATCGCATATTTTGCATAAGCGGGACACTTTACATGCTCCCGTAACCGGGTCCGGTTACAATTTCTTTTTTCCAACCGTTGTTTAGGGTGCATTTGTAAGCAAACACATACCACGTTTTTCTGACACGACAAGCTATCTGCTAATGAAATATGAAGACCATACCTTGTCCAGAACAATAGATATAAAACCCGAAAGTATTTCAGCACAAAGGACAGATGCCAGCAGCTCTCAAATCGCATAATTTGCATAAGCGGGACACTTTACATGCTCCCGTAACCCGGTCCGGTTACAATTTCTTTTCTCCAACCGTTGTTTAGGGTGCATTTGTAAGCAAACACACACCACGTTTTTCTGACACGACAAGATATATGCTAATGAAATATGAAGACCATGGCTTGTCCAGAACAATAGATATAAAACCCGAAAGTATTTCAGCACCAAGGACAGATGCCGCAGCTCTCAAATCGCGTAATTTGCATAACCGGGACACTTTACATGCTCCCGTAACCGGACTTTGCATACAAAATCAAGTGTTTACAATTCCTTTTCTCCAACCGTAGTGCTTCGGAAGCCTACCCTGGATGCCAAACTAGTATCGGGCCGTTAGCCGTTTTCCTTCGGCAGCCAAGAGCCCTTCGCCCGCCTATCTAAATTACCGCTACGGGGAAGTTGATCCCGAGGGGTTTGTCCGGCCCTTTACTACGGCCAGCCAAACTTCCCCCAGGCTAGACTCCCCCGTAGCGGTAGTTTACACCAGCGGGCGAAGGGCTCTTGCGGCCGGGAAAACGAGTTCTGGATTCCAGGGTACGGAAGCCCAGCTTTTGAGACTTACCATGACAGATGACCCCAGCGTCCTGACTGTGATCGCAGAAGTTGGTCTCCCAGCCCCCGTGCGCACACTCCCCCAGGTTGTCCTCGGACCCGTCACACCGCAGCTCGCTCAGCCAGATCCGCCCGGACCCGTGACGGAACCGCCCGCCGCCGTGCGCCCACATCGCCCCCGGGAACCCCAGCTGCCGACACGCCACCTGACAGGGCAGAACATGGCTTCGTTATGGTAGCAGAACACAGTTTTCGCCCTATGGGGATTTCTATAGTTAAAGCCCCGGTCACACTGGGCGAACTTTGCTGGAGCGTTCCTTGAACGGTGAATAAAATTCATCACCGCTCGAAACCGCTCAAGGCCCGGTCACACTGGCCGAACTTTGCTGGAGCGTTCCTTTAACGGTAGGGACGGGGTCCGAATTTCGACAACCCTCGTCACCGCGCCCAAAATGTGGGGGAAAAATAAAAACACGGGCGTTGACTTAGCGGTGTACCGCTGAAGCCGACGTTGCTTTAGCGTTGGTTTAGCGGTAGCGAACGTTGGTATAGCGGTGACGCAAGCGTTGGTATAGCGGCGTTCTGCGCATGCGGTTTAGCGGCATACCGCTTGTGACTACGGAGTTGAACGGATCGTTTTGTAGTAGTACAAGTTCTATTCTTGACTACGTTATTTAATTAATAATGAAAATAAAACTTTGCAGATTGCAAACTTCCCCTGTGACCCCAATAAAGTGATTGTCCGTGTGACCCTTCTTTGAACATTCTACGTGTGGCCCCAAAATAATTGCACACTAGTGCACCAATCATAGCAAGTCTCTCAGCATCCAGGGTGATACAGTTTTACTGTAACTTTTACTGTAACTTCGAGCAAATTCGATATAGATGAGGCAGCTCGATTCCAAATGAGCACCTGGTCCATTTCTCACCGTACTTATAGCCAAATTCTGGTCCCGCTCCGACACCTCTATACCAACGCCAAACCAAAGTTCATTGCCGACATGGATCGCTGCTTCAACGCCTGACACCGTTCCAGCAACCCCGTGTCCGCTCGTAAAACGCTTGCAACCGCTCCAGCGAAGTTTGTGCAACGTTTGTGCAACGTTTAATCGCCGCCCGGGCAACGCTGGCGAAGCAGCGGTGGTCAAGCGTTCAAGATTTCTGCGTTGGTCTAGCGGACCCAAGCGTCCACGAACTTGCGTCTAGCGATGCCAAACTTTGACTGGGCGTTGGTGGAGCGGGGGTGAACTTTGCCGGAGCGGAAAATTTCCCTCTCCTCACCGCTCGCAATATTTTGTGCAGCTCAAAACTTTCGGAGCGGTAGGAGGGCCCCTCCAGAAACATCAGCGGTGGCCGGGCGTACACGGCGTTGCTTTAACGGGGGCCAACTTCTGTTTAGCGGTGGTGAGCGGTTTCGAGCGGTGATGAATTTTATTCACCGTTCAAGCAACGCTCCAGCAAAGTTCCGCCAGTGTGACCGGGCCTTCACCACCGCTAAATAGAAGTTGGACCCCGTTAAAGCAACGCCGTGTACGCCCGGCCACCGCTGATGTTTCTGGAGGGGCCCTCCTACCGCTCCGAAAGTTTTGAGCTGCACAAAATATTGCGAGCGGTGAGGAGGGGGCAATTTTCCGCCCCGGCAAAGTTCACCCCCGCTCCACCAACGCCCAGTCAAAGTTTGGCATCGCTAGACGCAAGTTCGCAAACGCTTGGGTCCGCTGGGCCAACGCAGAAATCTTGAACGCTGGACCACCGCAGCTTCGCCAGCGTTGCCCGGGCGGCGATTAAACGTTGCACAAACGTTGCACAAACTTCGCTGGAGCGGTTGCAAGCGTTTTACGAGCGGACACGAGGTTGCTGGAACGGTGTCAGGCGTTGAAGCAGCGATCCATGTCGGCAATGAACTTTGGTTTGGCGTTGGTATAGAGGTGTCGAAGCGGGACCAGAATTTGGCTATAAGTACGGTGAGAAATGGACCAGGTGCTCATTTGGAATCGAGCTGCCGTTGAGTTCAGGCCTCATCTATATCGAATTTGCTCGAAGTTACAATAAAACTGTATCACCCAGGATGCTGAGAGACTTGCTATGATTGGTGCACTATTGTGCAATTATTGTGGGGCCACACGTAAAATGTTCATAGAAGGGTCACACGGGCAATCACTTTATTGGGGTCACAGGGGAAATTTGCAATCTGCAAAGTTTTATTTTCATTATTGAGTAAATAACGTAGTCAAGAATAGATTAACAAAAATGATGTTTATTAAAGCTAAAAGTCCCCACACACACAGAACAGAACTTGCACTACTACAAAACGATCCGATCAACTCCGTAGTCGACACACATCACAACCGGTATGGTGCTAAACCGCATGCGCAGAACGCCGCTATACCAACGCTCGCCACCGCTAAACCAACGCTAAAGCAACGCCGGCTTCAGCGGTGCACCGCTAAGCCAACGCCCGTGTTTTCATTTTTCCCCCACATTTTGGGCGCGGTGACGAGCGTTGTCGAAATTCGGCCCCCGTCCCTACCGTTAAAGGAACGCTCCAGCAAAGTTCGGCCAGTGTGACCGGGCCTTAAGGACCCCAAGATGACTCACATCGACGCGGTAAAATTATAGTAGGGTGCACTTCACAAATACGAAAATCGAATATGTTTGAGAAGAAGGTACAAACTACAAAATATCTAGAAACCAAAAAATCCTGTCGGTGTATCTGCTCATAACGTACACTTTGAAATCGCCCTCTACGGACGTGACCTGAACTGCAGCCGACTCACCAGGAAAGCCAGTTGTGTAATACGGCGCATTTATACACGAACTGCAAAACCTTCACAATTCAAATCATGCAGTCTCAAACCCGATACATTTCTACACCACACAGCACAACTTACATCTGGCCGACGCTCTTATCAGGCTTTCTATCCAGCCTTCAAGAATACTCTCTGCACTACTTTCTATGCTCGCGTCACAGACCCCGGGGGTCGCCCATTAATAATAATGAAGTTTATTGCAAATTCATGCCCGGGGGGCTAATTGCTAATCAATACTGTGTGCTGCTACCTTATGGTGGAGGTGGACTGTCTTAAGCCTCGGTCACAACCCGCCGTACGTGCTTTTTGTCCGTACGTTTTTTGGGAGGCTAAGTCTGCTACGTTTTTTCTGAAAACGTGGGGAAGGAGTGGCATCGACGCACGTCACTCGCACGGTTGCGCAAAGTGTAAGAGTGTGGTCTGCACGCCACGTCTGGCCGTGAGCGGTTGCGAGCATCATACGTTGCGCAAGTGGTAAGTGCGTTGTACGTGCTTACAACGTACGATCTCTGTGCGATTGCAACTTTACCGTAAGGAGGTCATACTCACACGTGCTTCCTCCGTACGGTACGTACGGGGCACGCGCGTCGCTCGTACTCGCACGCACGGGTGGTGAATCCGCAGACCGCACGTAGAAAACGTTTTAAATGCACTTAATGTTCTACGGCGTGTCTGCGTGCTCCCAAATCCGTAGGATTCCGTACGGAGGTGGTACTCACCACGCACGGATGCCCTACGTTTGCCCACGTTTTTGCACGTAGACAGCACGCTGAAGCACGTACGGCGGGTTGTGACCGAGGCTTTAGATAAACATACGGCAGGCCTGTATGGCAGTCCTAACAAACTTAGGTGCACACGACTTTGATGAAGGGTTCGTCATGGTCAAACCATGGAGTTTTAAATAGATAACTCCTTGGTGCTATATAACCTCCTTGGTCAACCTGACACACTAAAGCTACGGTAGCCCTTTAGGGACTATCATACTATTAGATAAACCTACTGTAGGTCTACAAGGTTATGAGAGGAAAGGGTTCGTCATGGTCAAAGTATAGACTAAGCTACGGTAGTCCTGTAGAGCAGACACCACATTTGCGTTGCGCAGTAGAGGCCTCAAAATGGGAACGATTGTAGTGTCAAGTTAATACCTTTGAAAATCCTTTTTTCTCCTGAAAGTTTTGGTCCATATTGGAGATTTTTGGGCTGGAAGGCACAGGTAGGGTTTAAATTAAAGTTTCCTACATTGGTCAAGTTTTGTTTAAAATTTCACCAGTTTAGTGGGCGTAGTGAGAGATGTGAGTGGTTAGGTCTTGTCTTGCCAGGCGGATGGATACCATGGAAAATGTAGGTCAAAGTTGAGGTTTTGTTACTATCATCAGCTGTGGCGGGAATTTGAGGTGGTCGACCCCCTGTTTCCTTTCTATTTTTGGGAATCAGACCCTTGTTGCTACCTGGTGCAGAAAAAAATTTGAGATTGAAGTATGGGCAAGTACTTCTAATAGTGTATTTAAGCATGTGTTCCTATGGCCAAATCTATAGTAATAGTACTGTCTGCCCTGAAGGAGCAGTCTTAGATAAATATACGGCAGGCCTGTAGGGGCGATGTACACTGTACATAAGGTAGGTTTACAGGAATGCAATACAAAGTTGACATATGTTGCTAATATTTCTGAGTTTTTAACGTGTAGAACGGGTTTGTCATGGCCAAGGTACGGTAAATTTGGATGAGACATTTTTAAAAGCAAGTTTAACCCCTCTTCATTCACGTTTTATTCCTCTGAAATTAAGTTTTTCCTTAAAATCCTAGAGAACGTCCACAAGAGCTTGACCTTGAACTTTGACCTACCTCTGCGTCCTTGATCCCCCAGCGGTCGTCGCAGACCGTCCCCCACTGCCGCCCCATGATGTCCTTGTCTCTGACCTCCAAACGACCTTCAAATGGGTTCCGCCCATCTACCAGTCTCAGTTCCAACACTGGCAAGAAAAATGGTTCAAAAGAATAAGTCTTAGGTTTATTGATACATTTTAACTTGACTACAAGATTCCTGTCAAATTGGCGTACAAGTTTGATAGACTAGAACTGGCAACTGAGTACAATCAAATTAATGTTTCATGAAGTTTTTCATGAGATTGGTACCAAAGACAATTAGATTTAGGATAAGGCCACACAAAGTAAATTTTATGGATGACGTCCGCGCGCGCATTGATTTTGGCCTGTTCCTAGAAAAACAAACAAGAAATTCCGCTTCCTGTAACTATGACCAAAGAGTCACGACAGTGCCGCAAATCGTCAGATTGACGTGAAACCTGTAACGCGAAAACAGGACAGGACGACAACTGCTGTTCCACCTGATTTATTGCTGTTTTGATGATGAATAAAAGACTTCTTGCTTGTTACACTGTGTCACCTCATTCAATTTGTGTCCTAACATTTGTTGTCTCTTAGTATATTTCTAATCTAGCCATCTTGTTTTTTAGGTCCCTTCTTGTTTTTCTTTCGCCCTCTCGCATTAGATTTAGGGTCATCCATAAAATTTACTTGGTGTGGCCTAACTGAAAATTAACTATATGATTACTTGCCATTCTGGCAACACCATTCATGTGTTTTTCGAGGCTAAATTGGCACAAAATCAAATACAGCACAGCATTGTACGTATTGGACAAGGATTCTTTTTCGAAATTTCTTGAACATGAAATATATCTGACTCACTGAGTGTAACTACATGTACACGTACACGTACATGTGCCATGTACCGGGATATTGGAGTCTGCAGTTTAGTTATCTGCCTGTAGGTGGCGCTTTTTTCTTGCAAATCAGTCTTTTCTGACAAACAAAATTGCAGTACTAAAAATTCGCTACACCATCAGTCGATCCACCAATCAGCGACGAAAAGGAAGGAAGTGCCCTTTAATACAGACACAAGCCGTTGCCATGGCAACAAAGCCGGTAAATTGTGCGAATCGGACAATAACAACAAACAGTGGCAGGCCCTGTTTTGTCAACAAACGTTGTCATGATAGGGTTTACATGAAGACAGTCCGGGGCCACTTCGCTACGGTACTTGAGCGCACTAAGTTGCCCTTTCTCTGCGTTACTTCAACCGTGTCTAAGCTGGACTATCAGGCGAGTATACCCTTTGAAGAGAAGGGGGTTTCTTGGAATAGTAAGCTGCTTCCATGTAGCCTGGAACCAGACTATAAACTTAAAGGAGCCTGTATTTCAGTAGTCTTTTCTCTGTGTTACTTCAACCGTATCTAAGCTGGACTTTCAGGCGAGTAGTGGTAGACAATCCCTTTGAACAGAAGGGGGTTTCTTGGAATATTTCGCTGCTTCCATGGAGCCTGGAACCAGATTATAAACTGACACCAGTCTGTATTTTTACTTGTCCTTTCTCTGCGTTACTTCAACCATATCTAAGCTGGACTTTCAGGCGAGTAGTGGTAGACAATCCCTCTGAAGAGAATGGGGTTTCTTGGAATATTTAGCTGCTTCCATGTAGACTGGAACCAGACTATAAACTGAAAGGAGCCTGTATTTTAGTAGTCTTTTCTCTCCGTTACTTCAACCGTATCTAAGCTGGACTTGCAGGCAAGTAGTGGAAGAAAATTCCTTTGAAGAGAAGGGGGTTTCTTGGAATATTTGGCTGCTTCCATGTAGCCTGGAACCAGACTATAAATTTAAAGGAGCCTGTATTTTAGTTGTCTTTTCTCTGCGTTATTTCAACTTTATCTAAGCTGGACTTTCAGGCGAGTAGTGGTAGACAATCCCTTTGAAGAGAAGGGGGTTTCTTGGAATATTTGGCCGCTTCCATGGCGCCTGCAACCAGACTATTAACTTGCTTACACTAAGTTACAGCAGTCTGTATTTTAAAGTCTGACCGCAGACTTCATTTAGGCCTATTCTTGCGACAAAGTCACAACAATATTGCGACTTTTGTAAGCTTTTGTAGAAAATCGACAAAAAGGATACATAAGACGGTTAAAACGAAGTTGTGGGAAAGTATTATACCAAACAGTAGAGGGATATGGGGTAAAAATGCAGAACTTAGGAGCTATTGTAAAACTAAGAACGTTTAAACGTTAGAAATGTGAAATGAAAATACGGGTATCTTTGATACAACTGCAAAACATTAACGTATTCAATGAGCTTAAAGTGTGCCGTACTTTACCCTTGAATAATCCCTAAAGTTGACTGTTTGAATCACATGCAAGACAAGTGATTAGCCCATTCACAGTCGTCTTTTTGTCCGACCTGACACGGTTTGATCTATTAGACTATGTGTTACTCTTTGAGATCGTGTCAAGTAACGGAACAACATGTGCTCGGGTCACCGAGATAAGCCCTGGTAACAACCCGCCGTACGTGCTTTTTCTCCGTACGTTTTTTGGGAGGCTACGTCCGCTACGTTTTTTTCTGAAAACGTGGGGAAGGAGTGGCGTCGACGTACGTTACTCGCACGTCACTCGCACGGTTTTGCTAGTTGTAAGAGTGTGGTCTGCACGCCACGTCTGACCGTGAGCGGTTGTGTGCATGGTTCGTTTCGTAAGTGGTAAGTGAGTTGTACGTTCTTACAACGTACGATCTCTGTGCGATTGCAACTTTACCGTAAGGAGGCCGTACTCACACGTGCTTCTTACTTACGGTTCGTACGGATGCCCTACATTTACCCACGTTTTTGCACGTAGACAGCACGCAGAAGCACGTACGGCGGGTTGTGACCGAGGCTACAGTTACGTGTATTATGATACATAACTTCAGACTGTCTGCTATGCCAGCATGACCTAGTCTCCACCAGACTCCTTTTGCAGGCTGAATAAATAGTAGAAATCGGCCTAAAAAGGGGGATATAATTGGCCAGAGGAGTTGGACTAGCCTCTACCAGGCTTGGGTAGGCGGCTGGAAAGAGTTGAAATCGGCCAAATAGAGAGATAAGCATGCCAAGGGAGTTTGTCCGTTGAGAGAACATTTTTGGGGTGCGGCGAAATGTTCTCTCAACGGACAATTAACTCCCTTGGCATGCTTATCTCTCTATTTGGCCGGTTTCTACTCTTTCCAGCCGCCTACCCAAGCCTGGTAGAGGCTAGAGTCGGACGCCCGGAGAAGATTTTTTCTACTATTTATTCAGCCTGCAAAAGGAGTCTGGTGGATCGAGACTAAGTACGACCATCCGACCAACTCAAGTCAGTCGTCCTAAGCGGGTCTTGGACCTCCGTCCACTAATTATAAAACGTATAGAATCTCATGCAAACTTACGGTCATACCTTACCTCTGTACATGAAGTCTGGCAATGGTAGCAAGGAGTTAACACAGACAATTTGTTAGTATAGTTAGTATAGCATTATCAGGCATAGGAGGAGGTTAGTTCATTCATTCACAAAAACTCATTCATAAATGCACTCTTCCACTCACTCACTCATTATGCAATTCCGTTAGTCATTTATTCTGTTATTCATCGACCATTACATGTATGTTGTTTTAAAGGTTTTCTGTCTTTCTTTCTTTCTTTCTTTCTCTCTCTCTCTCCCTCTCTCTCTCATAGCGTTCAACAATACGTATTTCATAGACCAGAAGTATTGAGCCCTTGCTCGCTTTCTCTCTGCCTCTCTGTCTGTCTCTCTCTCTTTCTCTCTCTCTGTTTCTCTGTCTCTCTGTCTCTTTCTTTCTGTCTCTGTCTCTTTCTCTCTCTGTCGGTCTCTCTCATCTCCCTCCCCCTCTCTCTGTCTCTCTGTCTCTTTCTCTCTCTCTCTCTCTGTGTCGGTCTCTCTCATCTCCCTCCCTCTCTCTCTCTATCTCTATCTCTGTCTCTCTTTCTCTCTATCGGTCTCTCTCCTCTCCCTCCCTCTCCCCCCCTCTCTTTCTCTCCCTCTCTTTCAACCCTCCCAGTGTCCAACCCAACAGTAGTATTTGATAGACCAGATGTTCGCAGAGTCCTGACAGCAAGTGACAAAAGCCCGAAGTGGGAGGGCGACCCGAAGTGACCCGTAGCCCGGCTGAAATGCCGGCTTCTTGTGGCGCTGTCAGCGGCAATAATGGGCGCGTCGTTAGTGATTTATACCGTCAGGAGAACGGCCATATGCGGAGGGTAACGACAAGGTGACAATGGTATAGGAAGTGGACACTTTGTATTGTTTACAGTGGTGTATGTAAGGATAGATCTATTTTAGGAAACAAAATTGCAGGCTGCCTCAAATGAAAGATAGCCTCCACCAGGCCTTTCTACGGGAATACGGATCGTAGAATTCGGCAAAAAAGAGAGTAAAATTGGCCAGGGGAGTCCTGGCACGGGAAGGTTTGTTTCTTTCCCTCCTGCGCTGCCAGTCAAACCTACAAGGCGGCCAAACTCCCCTGGCAAATATTATCCTATATATAGCCAGCGTAGTTAGTCTGATAGAGACTAAATGAAGGAATAAATATAGTTAAAATGGACAACTTTGAAAAAAGATGTCTATGCTACAAAGATGTGTAAAATACAGTTCACAGTTCATTCTATTTGTATTGTTTACAGTGGTGTATGAAAGGATAGATCTATTTTAGGGAACAAAATTGCAGGCTGCCTCAAATGAAAGATAGCCTCCACCAGGCCTTTCTACGGGAATACGGATCGTAGAATTCGGCAAAAAAAGAGAGTAAAATTGACCAAGGGAGTCCGGCCGCGGGGAGGTAGTTTCTTTCCCTGCGCGGCCAGTCAAACCTACAAGGCGGCCAAACTCCACTGGCAAATATTCTCCTATATATTGCCAGCGTAGTTAGTCTGGCAGAGACTAAATGAAAGAATAAACATAGTTAAAATGGACAACTTTGAAAAAATCTAAGTCTAAGCTATAAAAAGGTTTTTTACATGTGTAAAATACAGTTTTTTACATGTGTAAAATACAGTTCACAGTTTATTCTATTTAATTGTGCAAAGCCGTCGTTAGTGATTTATACCGTCAGTAGAAGGGCCATATGCGGAGGGGAAAGTCAAGGTGACAAT